TTGCCTCTTACATAAAGCGTTTGCTGAAGTACTTCCTGGGCACTTGGTCTTACACTGTAAGCTCCTCATTCTCAGCATGTTGCAGCCAGGCTGAGAGGTATTAAGTATCTAAGAAATTGAGGTTTTACATGTTGGTATGTGTAGCTATAATGTATTAACTTTTGTTTCTATTTTGTATTCTAATGTATGAACATTCCATAATTTATCCATTCTGCTGAATGTTTGTCAGACATTTTGGTTAGTGTATTGTCTGTTATCTGTAATGCTGCTAAGGCCATCCTTGTACTTGTCTCCTTAGAGAAAAGTATGCAGATATATACCAAGATGGAAATCTTTGTAAATTTAACTACTATGTCCACCATTTAACGCAAGAAATAGGCTACTACCTCTCCTTAAAACACTTACATATATCAATTTTCAATCACGGTTCCCTCCTTCCCCACCTGCCCTGCCCAGTTATAATAATGGTTCCGGTAATCTTTGTGTTCCTTTATAGTTTTATCACAAAAGTATACCTATTTTGATTGGCATTACATTACTTGCATCTATAAATCAATTTGGAAAAAATTACTATTTTGCCTTGGTCCTTGTTCTAGCCTCTGAACCCACACCCACCTTCTGCCTTAGACTCCTGCTATATCTCTGATACATCATGTCTGCATTGTGGAGACTGTTACCTTGCCTCTGATAACTCCCACTGATGTTGCAGAAATTAACTTTCTGAAACATTTCTGTTCAAAAGTTTTCTATGACTGCCTTGCATGCATGCAGTCAAGCCTCCTAACTGTAGCTTTCAAGCCTCATTTCTAGGTGCTAAGTGTTCTGGTTATCTATTGCTATGTAACAAAGCCCCTCAAACTTAATGGCCACAGCAAGAACAGTCAGGAGTCACAATGAAGCGTTCCTCATTCACGTGTTTGGTGCTCGATGCTGGCTGTCTGCTGCAAGGCAGCGCTGTGTTCCATGGGTGAGCTTGCCATGAGAGGGAGCTGGATAGAGCTGTATTATTACCTCTTCTAATCTAGCCTTGACAATCCTGTAGTTTGAAGGACATCCGTATTGTTCTTAGTTTCTGGTAATTATGAACATAGCTCTTAAAAATAAATAATTGTCTACATTTTTATGTGAACATAAATTTTGATTTTCCTTGGGTAATTTCCTAGAAATGGGATTGCTGCATCAGATGTCAAATATCTGTTAAACCTAAATAAGATGCTGTCAAACTGTTTTCTCCATTGAGTGTATCATTTTGCATCCTCATCGGCCACATTTGAGAGTTCCAGTTGCTCTGGGTCCTTATTAGCAACTGGTATTGTCAGGTTTTTTAAAAACTTTTTTTTCTCTTTTTTAAACCGTGCATCACTTTTTGGTTTTTCCTTAATGCATTTTTCTAATGGCTAAAAACTGTGAGCATCCATTCATGTGCTTATTTGCTGTATATATATCTTATTTAGTGAAGTGTCTGTTTAGATCTTCTGCCCGTTTAAAAAAACTGAGGTGATTGTTTTTTATTTTTGATAGTTCTTTATGCATTTTGGATGCAATTCTTTTTTCAGAAATGGGATTTGTAAATAGTTTCTGTCAGCATGTGGCTTATCTTTTTCTTCTTTTAACATCCTTTATAGAGCAGAAGTTTTTAATGTTGAATAAAGTCCAGTTTATCAATTTTTTAAATTTTCATGTTATGCTTTTCGGAGCTCTAAAAACTCTTAGACTAAGCCATACCTGACTTTGTTGCCCATTTCTTCTGCTTAGAATATGTGTCTCATCCCACTCTGAGGGCTCAGTAACATCCTCTTTCTCAACTTGGTTGTCTTGATTAGCACTCCTTTTATTTGCACACATAGTATTTTGTATTCCCCCTACCTCACTAGGGCTTGTTTCACTGTATTATGGCTGCTTTTTCCTTCCTGAGTCTCCTGCTAGGCTCTGCCAGGCCATCAGTCTTACAGGGCAGGGACCATTTTCTGTGTTCATTTCTGCATCAGGCCCAGTGATTCATGCACGATGGCTGGCATTTGTTGAACATAAGAATGGATGGAATTGCTGGATATGCTCAGGTTCCCATGCCATTGTATATGCTATTCCTAATTTCTTAAAATACTCTGTCTCCCTGGCTGGTTGGTTTCCTTCTGATCTTTGAAGCCGGTGAACCATTCCCCATTTACTTCAGGCTGAATTACTTGCTGTCCTACTGTGCTCTTAGGGCTTTTTGTTTGTTTGTTTTTTAGCATTTTCCCTATTCAGCACATCTCCTATTGTATTACAGATAGTTGAGTAGGAGTTTTTCTTTACCACTGGAGTGTGATAGAGGAATAAGAGCTATGCTTCTTTTTCATCTCTTAGCTCTCAGAGCCTAATAACCCTGCCTAGTACTAAGGACTAAATAAATATCTACTGAATATAATATGTGATTGTCTCCTTCTAGTTGTTTTTTAGCATAAAAAGCCTAGGCATTAACACAATTTAGAGAAACATGGTAGGCAAACCATGCCAATATACTTAGTCTCCATCCTCCTCATGAATAATTTTTTCTAGAGCAAAATTTTGTTTATATCATCCATAGATGATTTAATTTTGTAAAATAGATTATGCATATGAATCATAGAGCAATTTTAAAACATAATAATTTTGTTAGAAGAAATTAATATCACCTTTAATGCTAACACGGTATCCTTATGACGTTTGGTTGTATTTCTTTCTTAAGAAAAGTCTATATTTGTTAGCATTTGTATCTTTTTTATATGTAGATTTTATTAATCCCAATTCTTGATTATATCACACAAATGTACACTTTAGAATGCTGTATACCTTAAAAATTTAATATTGAACAATAAGCATTTTTAGTGTTAAGTACTGTCGTATGTAGAGATGATGCTGTTTTACCCACTGCCTTCATGATTCTGTGAAATGATGTGCCCTTCAATTCCTGAAAATGACTTCATCTATGACAAAAGCCAGTTATACTTCAAATCAGATCATGTGACAGAACAGACTACACAAAAAAGTGGTTCCCAAGTGTGGTCACTCCTGGACATTAAATCCACAAAAAAGATGCGATGAGACTGCTTTGCCGTAGTTCTGAATGTTGAAATATACATGAGAACTCTCAGCGTGGGCTTTGGGGACTCTGTAATAAGGTGGAATCACCGTTAGAGAAGCTACAACCTGTAATTAGGCAACAGGGAGAGATACAGGGCCTTGTTCTGAGCCCAGAGAGCATGGCAGTGGAGGGGCACGAGGCGAGTGAAGACCGTAAAATAACTATTGAAAGTGTTGTTCTCCTTTTTAATCTAAAACTTAAAAAAAAAATTTAAACTTAGGCAAAGTTAGTAAAGAGGCTTGTCAGTAGAAAACCTGGCATGTGGAAACACATGACTGAGCCTACCTATTTCTCTGGATTTTTTTTTTTTTTTCTACTACCTGTGGGCACTCATCTCATCTTTTTAAAGTATGTTGATTGAAACTGCAGACATGTGGTGCTTCAGAGCCAGGGTTCTGACTGCAATTCTGTCCCTTTGGCCTAGTTTCACTGTATTTTCTGAGCATCTGTTCCTTCATCTGTAAGATGTAAACAACAGTAACTCCTGGGGTTGTTTTGAGATTTAAACGAACTGGCCTATGTAGAGTGCCAAGCACAGTGCCGACACCCAGAGCAATGAGATAATATTGATTCTCAGACCTCTTTCCACCTTCTGCCTTTCTTTTCTATTTCAGTAAAAATTTGAGTATCTGCTACTTGTCCTGCACTGAGTATAAAACTGCTATTACCTCACTAAAGCTAAAAAACTGAAGTAGACAAAGGCTTGGTTTTCAAAGAACTTAATAATTGGGGGTGGTAAGGATGCTTAAAGCAACAAAATATAATATAAGATAGAATAAATAAATGCTAAAAAGGGAGGTGGGGTTTGACCAGGGGAGGACTTAAGGAGGTGAGGATGTGTGATAGTAGTGGCATTTAAGGACACACAAATTTTCATAACAGAGCAGTAAAAGATTATTCTGAATGTGAAATTGCACATCATATTAGATGAGTAATGAGTTGTCAGCTTTTTGTCTTGAGCATGGGATGAGTTGTGGGAGCTTAGGCTGCAAAATTGGAATGGAGGCAGAACTGACATGCAGATAGCTTCACTCTGTGGTCGAAGAGCTGATATGAAGCCTAAGACAAAAATGCACCTGGGCTATCTTATGGATGTAATCACTAGTAGGAACTAAAAAAAAGACCAAATGGTTGCAAAATGCTTGCTAAGCATTGGGCATCCATCCAGTGCCACTTACTGTCAGGGTAGGCAGTATCTTGCTTGCAATATGAACTCCTCTGACTAGAGAATACTATATGAGATAATTGATGGTTAAAGAATTTATGAAGGAGGCCAGGCACTGTGGCTTACACCTGTAATCCCAGCACTTTGGGTGAGGGCCAAAGTGGGTGGATTGCTTTGAGCCCAAGAGTTTGAGACTAGCCTGAGGAACATGGGGAAACCCCATCTGTACAAAAATTAGCCAGGCGTGGGGGCACGTGCCTGTAGTCCCAGCTACTTGAGAGGCTGAGGTGGGAGAATCACCTGAGTTTGGGAAGTCAAGGCTGCAGTGAGCCATGATCCATGTCACTGCACTCCACCTTGGGTGACAAAGTGAGACCCTGTCTAAAAAAAAAAAAAAAAGATTTTATGAAGGAGAGGTCTAAAGAAGTAAGACTTGTTATTGGTATGGACTTAGAGGTATGATATCTCTCAGAGCAAGGAGGTTCTTCCAGCAAATTCTGATACCAGCCTCTTTTCCTTTGGAAGTAGGAAAGAGTCCCTGGAGACAATTTACTTTAACTTTTGGGAACTTTGAAGATCAGTCTTTGAGAACTTAGTTGTTGTCTCATGGCCTACTAGATGTATCTGTAAATAATAGAAATTAACAGGTGAACTTGGATGTCATGGATTAAAAATTAAGTGTCAGTGTAGCTACTGTAGGAGCACTTTCATGTACTTTGTTTCTGTTTCCAGGGACTTAATACCTATCATTGCTGCTCTGGAATATAACCAGTGGTTCACAAAGCTGTCCTCTAAGGATCTAAAACTGGTAAGTAATCAAACATGCAGCAAATGTTGCTTGGCTTTGCTGAATTTCAAAAACCCAATATTTGTAAAAAAAAAAAAAAAAATTTACTGTACTGGTAAACTATATACATTTTATTTCTTGAGGAGATATTTTCCTTTAAATGATTTGCATAACGTTTAGTAAAATTTGTGATGTGAGATGCTTCCAAGTATTTCCTCATGTATTCAGCTGTTTCAGGCAATTTAAGAAGATGAACAAAAAGATACATTTAGTGTAGCCTTTAGTACAAACCATTCAGTTGACAAAAACTGTTAAAGTTACGTTTGCACAGCTGCAAATAGCAGATTTTATATTCCTATCTTACACTCTGTGTCTACAAAGTTTCCCTTCCTAAGAATTTAGGAAAACATTAGCAGGTAGAGTTCCCCTGGTCGAGTAATGATAGTTAATGTTGATTTTCTAGATGGGTTTTGGGTAGATTTATATGAAAGCAAAATTAAATTAAAGTGAAATCTGTTTTCATAAGGTACGAATGAGAAAAATATTTGGTGTATTTTATTAGTGGAAATAAGATGCTGTCTTGGGATTGTTGCCAGTTCATATCAGTCATATGGACGGATGCTTATCCATAAATTAACTCTCTGGTGTTTGTTATGGGATAAGAAAGAATTTGTATGTTTTCCTGGAGACTCTCATGTTTAAGTCTCTAACTTTCAGAGGTCATAGGATCTGGGGGTTTAAGATTTTCATAGTGAATACATCAGACTTGTAGTAAGACATGGATCTGTAGGACATGGAGGGTTGAGACTGGCTAGTGGGCAGGCGACTTGGTTCTCTGAATTTGCTTGGGGTAGGGGTGGCCTAAAACATTGTATGTATGAAAATGGACTAAACTCATTTGGGGTCCCTTAAGAGCCAATATGGTAGAGGAAAATGCTTGGACTTGGAATGAGAAACCTGGATTTCAGATTCTGATTTTTATTATAAGGCTATGTTACCTTAGATAACTTACCTGACCTTCCAGGGCCTCAACTTCCTGCATACCTGAGTTAGTTGGAACCATTTCTTACTCATCTCTATCTAGTACTTATTAGAGTGTGTGACTCATAGTAACTATTTAATAAAAATTGGTTTAATAAGTATATGTCTAATAAGTTATCAAAGAGATTGAGAAATGAACATATATGAGAGTATGAATTATGTGAACTATATAATTCAAACAAGAGTTGTGTCTGAGCAGTGATGATGGAGTGAGGGTTGGCATGAGTTGGAGCCAGGTGAACCCTCAGGGAGCAGACAGGTAGCCATGATGGGAGACCTAAGAATAGATGTCCCTTGTTTGCTGCTTGCTGGGATGGGACCATTTCCAGGCCTGAGCCAGCAAAGAGTACAGGTGGGAAAGGGGAGCCATTGGAGGAATGAGAAGGGGATTAGTCCAGGGGTTGTGGGATCAGAGAGAACAATGGTTTGCTACCATGTCAGTTTTTCTGGCTCATTCAGTCATTTACATAAGCTTGTGAATTTCAAAATGGGGCCTCAAGAGGGTTTCAGGAAGGTTGTGGATATCTCGCTTTTGGAGATTGTCCCAACCTGCAATTACAGGAAGGTGTCCAGGCAATTGCTGCTGCCATTCTGTCATTATTCCTCCCAGGTATCATCTCCTTTCAGCTGCCTTAGATGTTTAGGACATAAAATATGCACCTAATCATTTCAGTCCTGGCAAAACAAAGCAGGTAAATGCTATTATGCTTTCTTGGGTGTCCTGGGATGGAAGGAAGTGGAGTGACAGGATGTGAGGACTGCTCATGCTGCTTTTCTATTAACTGAGATTTAAACACAAAAATACAGGTTGCATATATTTTTAATATTTGGTATTTTAAAATGAAGTGATCTTTGTGGATATTACTCTACAGGTCTTCAAAAAGAATACTAAATTCTTCATGTTTTTTACCCAAAGTTGAAATGATACTTTCTCTTTTGATGGGTACTGAAGTGGGCAGTCTCGGAGCACTGTGTAACATTGGGTTTATTCAAAGAAAAGGACAATATGAAGAAGCACGTCTTTGGATTTTTGTAAACATGAAGTGCAAGGGCAAAAATAAGTGGCTGCTTCTCAAGTTATATGAGCTCTCTGGGTTAAGATTGTTACTAGTCCCATAAAAGCCTCCTGTGCTAAGGTGCCACGAGAAAAATATGACTTTATGTTGATCTTATGAAGCAAGTTAGCAATCAGTATTTCTAATTTGAGTCAAGGATTTTTTTTAAAAATGGTACTGAATATGCAATTAGGACCATGTTTTTGGCCAACATTCTTGACTCATTAAAAAAATAGTAGAATTGGGGTCTTGCTCAGCTTCTTCTGTTTTGCAGCTCAGGCAAATTGGTGAGCATCATCGCATCTTTTTTTAGTCTTTAGGGAATGACATGGTGGGACGAGATAATGTATATGGTTTCTTTCAGTTCTAAAGTTCCAGTTTTAAAAAGTTAATTTATTTTGCAATAGTTCATTTATTACTCTATAGTGATTCTAGTTTTTGTTGTTTACATTCATTTTTTAACTGAATGCAAGCTCCTGGAGAGTCACTGTATCCAGTTTTTAAAAAATTTCCTAAATTGATGCACATAGTGCTGCACATGCTGTAGACATTTGGAAAATACTACTGGAATTATCACATTATACTTAGTAGCTAGGTTTGAGTGTGTCTCCCTTTAAAAGTTTCATTTCCTTATATTCATCCCTGTAGAAAATGATGCTTTTAATGTACCTGGCACTCAATAAAAATTAGTAGAATTAATTTAGTCATGAATGATTTGTTATACATCTCCCCTACTGGCATTTTAAAGAAAAGTTGGAGACACTTTCATACATTTTCCTTAATAAATTTGTGTTATGGTATTTATACCCCAATGGGCTGTAAATCTTCAAAGCATTATGGTAAATTACTTTTCTGGGTGCACTGCAAGGTAGCCCAGAAATGGTAATGATCCCAAGAATTATTTCTGGTAATTAGGATAATATCCGCAAAAACATTATCTAAGTAGTCACTTTTTATCATGACAGCACAGAATAAGACCCTTGTATGTACATTGTGAGATAAAGAATTGTACTGATAAGGGGGTCACCATTTTGAATATCATCACTGTCAGCATAATGTAAATTGCAGGCATCAGGTCAATTGGAATTAATTTTTCTCTTTCTTCCTTAATCAGTGGGACACATTGGAAACCCAGGAATAGTGTGAAAGTGGCATTATTGACAGAATGGAATCAAACAGCAAATAAGAATTATGAGAGCCTTACATGCTGTGGGACTTGGGGTGTTTCTGAGTTAGGTTTTCTTAAAAATACTTGACTAGAGAACTTGTGCCACATTCAGACTGTGTTCCAATTATGATTAATCCAGTTGGGTATTTGTTATATGATAAGTCAAAGTACTGTAATATTTTTATGTGATATTTTATGAAAAGAAAGTGCTTTGATATTGTATGCTATGGCACACAGAACATGCCTTCTTTCTCTCACTCTTTTTTAATATCATGAAGTATTTAGTACACGCTAGGTTGCAAGGAGAATTTTAAAATCACTTTGTGTGTGTGTGTATGTGTGTGTGTGCACGTGTGAAACAGGGTCTCACTCTGTGGCCCAGGCTGGGATGCAGTGGTGGGATGATGGCTCACTGCAGCCTCAACATCCTGGGCTCAAGCGATCCTCCCACCTTAGTCTCCTGAGTAGCTGGGACTGCAGGCGCGTGCAGTCTGGGACGCACCCCGCTACTTTTTGTATATTTTGTAGACATGAAATTTCACCATTTCCCAAAGCTAGTCTTGAACTCTTGAGCTCAAGTAATCTGCCTTCTTCAGTTTCCCAAAGTTCTGGGATTACAGACATGAGCCAAAATGACTTTTTAATATATAAGTAATATTAAGGTCAAGAACCACTTTAAATTAGTTTTGGAATGAGGCAGGTTATAAATATAAAAACATTAATAAATATTTTTTAAAAATATGCACAATTCTACCACCAGGGCACAACTCTTCATTTTTCATAGTCCCCTCAAAATGTTGTTATATATTACTCATTTTAATTGTTGTAATCTTGTTTAACATATAGGCATAATAGTTATACAACTATATAATGGTTGTTTTGAAAACATGTTTATTAACATGAGACTATTATTTATTAAACTTTTTCGTATTATTAGGTTGTTTCCCATTTTATCCTATTTACATTCCAGTAGGAACATCCTAATACCAGCTAGCATTCATCAAGTACTTATTTAGCCTGCCTGTTTAAGTTTATGACATCTTTAAACCTTAATTTTCTTATCTATGAAAATGGAATAATAATCTTTAATGGTTTTATAATGAAATACACATAGAGGACTTAACTCAGTGCCTGACACATGGTGAGAACTCAGCAAAGATATTTTCAACATCATTATCATCATCACTAACATTTAGTCTTCAGTTCTCCATTTTGAACGTCACCTTCTTTGGGAAGTCCTCTTGGTTTTGTGAACCTGGATTAGGTGCACTTATATGTATGCATAGCACTACCAAAATGGTCTTTTTATTATTTTATCATAATAGTATATTTTTATCTTATTTCATTCAGGTTGCTATAACAAAATACCATACATTAGGTAGCTTATAAACAACAGGTTTATTTCCCAGTTCTGGAGGCAGAGAAGTCCAAGATCAAGGCTCCAGTAGACTTGGTGTCTAGTGAGAGCACACTTTGTTGTTCACAGGTGGTGCCTTTTAGCTGTGTCTTTACTAGGTGGAAGGGGCAAGATAGCTCTCTGGGGCCTCTTCTGTGAAAGCACTAATTCCTTCATGAAGGCCCCACCACCATGACCTAGTCAGTTCCCAAAGGCACCTAATTGCTAATGCTATCACAGTGGGGATTAGGTTTTTAACTATGAATTTTGGGAGGGGGGACACAAACTCTGACCATAGTGTTCTTCTTGTCTGTTTACCCTGCTGGATGGCACACTCTTAAAGGCAGGGACTTTCTCCTTTATAACATTGTGTTTCCAGGATCTTCATCACGATGGTGCATAGTAGAAGATGCTCATTCAAGGTTTGTTGAATGAGTGATGTTTTACTTAATTAAAACTTTGCATTGCATAGATATATAACAATAAAGTTTTTCTTCTTTAGAGTTATGGAGTAGTCAAAGAATGTTTTCTGTTACAGTCCACTGATGTCTGTGAACAGATCTTGAGGGTGGTGAGTAGGTCCAATCGACTGGAAGAATTGGTGTTGGAAAATGCTGGACTTAGAATGTGAGTATTTTCCTGAATCTATAAATATGTTGTTTTAAAACTCTGTGCCATTTGCTCTTCTAATTAATTCATAGGTTTTTTTTTTTGTTTTTTGTTTTTTGTTTTTAATTGGGCTGATCACATATACAGCAATGTTTTTCCTTCTGGAAAAAAAAATCCGTATAATTCCCATCATCATGAAGCCTAATAATTTGGTAACATCTCTTGATATTGTGTCACTTGATATTTTTGCGAGTACATAGTATCGTTTTTAAGAACATGGATCCTTGAGCCAGATTTCTCATGGCCTTGCAGAAGTTGCTTAAGCTTTCTGTGCCTCATTCTCTTCACTCTTAAAATGGGGATAATAATAATGCCTATTTTATACAATTAAAATTGCAAGGGTAAATGAATTAATATATTTAAAGTATTTGGCAAAGTGCCTTTTACTCTGTAGATGGTATATGTAGGTTTTATTATCATTACTGGTGGTCATAGTGATAACGTATTTCATATGACTTTACTGCTTTGCTTTGATCAGTTTTAGTCATTTTTTTTCTTTCTCAGGTTAATGCTTGCATAGTCTTTATCTAGTGGTTTAGTAGTCACTACCTAAGCCTACTGTTAAGAGCATAAGAGTTAGAATCTAGTAGAATAAAGATTTCACTGCTGCTAAGTGAGGACGGTTGACAGTTTCATAATCATAGCACTTAGTACATTATTTCAAGTTAAACCTAACTAAAACAATGGTTTTAATTTTTGCCAAAATGTAGCGCTAGCAATTGTAACCTTTAAACTTAATAATTAGTGTAATCAGTTTTGCATTCACAGTTGCATGAAATGAGAAATAAGATATGGTAAATACTATAATTTTCATGAAAAGCAGGTTCGATCCAGGATTTTTTTTTTTTTTTTTAATTATGGAGGGGCCAGAAAGTACTATTAATAGCATACAACAGAGTGCCTTTAAAGGGGCAATTATGTATTTTCTTTTCGCTTTTGGCCAATCAGAATGAACCATTTTCTGGCTGTGGCTTTACAAATTCTCTAATGAGGTATTAATGGGTATTAAGAAATATATGCTATATAGACTAATATTGTAAGGGAAGTTTCTCTATTTAGATTTCACTCTGTTCTAAGCTTTAAATGTTCCATTCGAATGGTTTTACATTTGGTTTTACATTTTACATTTTGTTGCTTAATCTTATTGTTTTGTTTACATGCAGAGATTTTGCACAAAAACTGGCCAGTGCTCTAGCGCATAATCCCAACTCAGGACTCCACACAATTAACCTTGCTGGCAACCCACTGGAGGATAGAGGTACTGCGGGGTTCTCATTATCATTGATGCCAGAATTGTAAGAGGATTAGAGAATTTTAATTTAGCCATGCCTGAAGAGCTGTATCAAGCTAAGTTGTAATTATAAGTGCTGTTGATTGTCCTGTTGGCTTCCAGTTCTTTCCACCCTTTCATATAAATACTTATGTTAAAATTGTATGATCTGCTTAGCTTTTTTTGAAGTGAAACAAAAGGAAAGGAAGATATTATTTTTAATGTATTTTATTAGTTATATAGTCCTGCATAACAAATTACCACATGCTTGGCAGCTTAAAATGATACCAATTTATTATCTCATAGTGTCTTGGCTCAGGAGTCTGGGTACGGGTTAGCTGGGTTCTGTGCTCTGGGTCTCTCAAGACAAAGCAAGTTGTCAGCAGGGGTTGTGCTCTCATCTGTGACCTGGAGTCCTCCTTAAGTTCACTAGTTGTTGGTGGAATTAATTTCCTTGGAGCTATAGGCTCGAGGTCCCCAGTTTCTTGCTAGCTGCCAGTGGGCACCACTCGCAGCTCCTAGAGGCCGTGCTCCTAGAAGGGTTCTTGTCATGTGACCCCCTTATCTCACAACATAGCAGTTTGCTTTGTGTGTGAGGCTAGCTGGAGCACATCTCTCTGATGCTTTAGTTTCTTTTAAACAGTTCACCTAACTGGATCAGACCCACCTATGACAATTTCCGTTTTTCATGAACTCAAAGTCAAGTGATTAGTAACCTAATCGTGGTAGGGATGTCTCATTACTGTTGACCCTTGAACAACTCAAGAGTGAGAATCACTGACCATAAGCCATCAAAAATCCACATGTAACTTTTGACTCCCTCAAAACTTAACTGCTAATAGCACTGTTGACTGGAAGCCTTGCCAATAAAAAGTTGACTAACGTGTAATTTGTGTGTTATATGTATTGTATAGTATTCTTTAAGCTAAATAAAATAAAATTTTATTAATAAAATCATAAGAAAGAGAAAATATATTTCCTGTTTGTTAAGCGGAAGTAGATAATCATAAAGGTCTTTATCTTGGTCATCTTCACATTGACTAGGCTGAGGAGGAGGAGGAAGAAAAGGAGGCCTTAATCTTGCTGTGTCCGCAGTGGCAGAGGTGGAGAAAAATCCACACAGAAGTGGACCAGTGCAGTTCAAACCCATGTTGTTCAAGAGTCAACAGTATATTTACTGCTCCCCACCCCCATATTCAAGGAAATTTGCACAGGGCGTATACACCAGGGGGTGAGAATCTTGGGGACTATCTTAGATTTCTCTTTACCACTATTATATTTTAATATTTAACAAGATTTGAGTGTGAGAATAGGGAAAGGATGAAGGACTAGAGTTCACGAAGAGTCAGAATGTTTTATTAAAAGTGGATGTGTAGAGAGAGGAGTCAGTAGGTTTAGAAAGGGAAACTCGAGAATTTGAATTCTTAGTGGAACACTGATGGACAAGGTTTAAGAAGGAATTGGTTTATCTCTAGTGGGACTATTTTGTTTTCATTTTCTGTTGCAGATGTTTTCCAGGTTGTTGAATACGGCCTTTAACCTTTCAATGTTATATTTGAAGAGTATTAATTATTAAACTGAGCTGAAGATACTGATATAGATGTTCAGTTTTTCTTTTTGTCCTTAATATGGTCATTGTTTGGTGCTGACAAAGATACCTAGGTTGTATTCAAGCAAACGTCTCCAGGGTAACTTGTCATCATCTAAAGTAGTGAATCTACAGGAAGGTCGAGACTGAATTAGAAAGCTAGATCACGCAAAAAGTACCCTCATAGAATAAGCCAAAGCTGAAATTAATGGATGCGTAGTACTGGAATAGGAGTTTCTCTAGGGTATACTCAATTCTTAGGAAAAACAAATGTTTCTCTATTAGATACTACAGAGAGGTGAATGTGACAAAGTAGAAATCATGGTGATCACCGTTTTATAGACAGAAGGGCTCTTTTTGGTTTTGTTTTTAAGATGGGAGGGACTCAGTCATATTTATCAACATACAGGAAAAAATCTGTAGAGGGAGGTAGTTGTTTGAGGAAGGTTCTTAAGCAAATGAAATCCAGAGTTCAGATGGATCAGGATGGGGACACTTCTCAGTGTTTAGAGAAATGCAAATTAAAACCACAGTGAGGTACCATTTCAAAAGCAGTAGTGTGGCAATAATCAAAATAAGTCTTCGAAAGGATGTGAAGAGATGGAAACTCCTACATTGCTGGTGGGAGTGTAAAATGGTGCAGCCACATGCAAAACACGCTAGACAGTTTCTTAAAAAGTTAAACTCAAACCTGCCATATAACCCAGCAATTCTACTCCTAGGTGTATCACCCAAGTCAAAGGAGACTTATGTCCACACAGAGACTTGTGAATGAATGTTTATAGCAGTATTAGTTATAATAGCCAAAAAGTAGAAACATCCCAGATGTTCATCACTGGAGAGTGGTTACATAAGATATGGTGTATATAATATGTGCATTGGAATACTACTCAAAAGAGAATGGAATTCTGACACATGCCACATCATGGATGAACCTCAAAAACACTGTTAAGTGAAAGAAGCCAGACCTAAAATACCACACATTGTTTGGGGAGATGGAAGAGGAAGAATGAATTTGAGGCCCTTTGTTTTCTCTCCCGTTGTCCACTTCATGTTCTCTGAGGTGCAGCCACATTGGACAACTTGTCACCGCAGATGCAGTTTCCTTTGTCTTGCCCTCACTTTGGAGCTCCCATGTAAAATTCCGTAATAGCACTTACTTCACTCTGCTCACATGAGAACTAGAGGTGGACATTTCTTTCCCCATGCTTCAGCACCTTGCTTCCTCTCATCCCCACTTTCTGGGTTTTCTGTCTCCCCTTCCTTGTTTCCTAAGATGCAAAGCATCTAGTGTAAGACTTGGTCCACAATCAACAGATATTTTCTTTAAATTGAATTTGATTTATTTGATTGTATTCAATCTTAATTCTCTTGTATAGGTTTTTTTATTTGCACTTGAAAATTATGGTGAAGTTTGAGAGATTTCTTTTGTATAGAGTCAGACCATGTGTTCAAAGATGATGTTTGCCTACTTTTTCCCTCTGCTTTCCTATTTCTGAGACCTGTGTCTTTTTATCTAGCTGCAGCCCATTCACCAGTGCTGTCATCATGAATCATTCCAAGGATAGCCTTGAATATTCCTGCCAAGTCTGTAGTGTGGTTTCTGCTCATATACCTTCAAATTTTAACATCCTGAAAATATTTTCGCAGACCAAGACTTTTCTCATTTCTGCCCCTTCTAAATTCATTCATTGCTGTATTTGCCAGTGCTCACAGACAACTGCCAACATTCGTATCTCCCATCTTTCTTTACTCTTCAGGATGAGCCTCCTGAACACAAATTCTTTATTCTTTTCATTCAGGCTAACTACCTGAAGGATTGGTAACTTTTCTGCTCATGGATGGAAATTCCACAAGAAATCTACATGAGTGTAAAATATTTACTGAAATTTCAATCTAGAGAAAACTTTTAGTAATTTTTGTTCCCAAGGTTTTCAGTGATGGTATTTTGTGTTTGAAAGTAATAAAAAGGGTGAAGGAGGAGTCTGTAATTAAGTTATACAGAATATAAAAAAGACTAAGCCAGGACTATTATTTGTAAGGAAGCTCAAAGAAGTACAAGGGGCTGGGTACGGTGGCTCATGCTTGTAATCCCAGCACTTTGGGAGGCTGAGGCGAGGGGATCATGAGGTCAGGAGATTGAGTCCATCCTGGTCAACGTGGTGAAACCCCATCTCTACTAAAAATACAAAAATTGGCTGGGTGTGGTGGTATATGCCTGTAATCCCAGCTACCCGAGAGACTGGGGCAGGAGAATTGCTTGAATCAGGGAGTCGGAGGTTGCAGTAAACTGAGATTGTGCCACTGCACTCCAGCCTGGCGACAGAGAGAGATTCTGTCTCAAAAAAAAAAAAAAAAAGAGATAAGGTCTTAACAGTTAAGTGGCCAAGAATTCTGAGGAATTTACACAGCAAATGGAATGTGGTTTTGTATCTAAACCTTCCACTCAGGAACTTATTTGGAAACTCTTCAAGAGTTGTATGATATGAATGTTGATGCAGCAAAACTGTTATTTTCACATCTATGTATAGAGGACCAGGCCTGTAGTCTTCTGATTGCTGAGGGGGTTGTGGTAAAGGAGGTTCGAGTATGACTTAGTAAGCAGAGGTATAATGTGTATGAGTAATCCTTCAAATGCTAGTTGCCCTACTGTTCTCTTTCTGCAAGAGCCACACAAGATGGTGAACAGACCACACACATACACAGGCTATTCTTATCCTTGTTGCCAGGCCATGCCTGTTCACCAGCTTGCTCTTGGTCTTCATCTAACACAGTGTTTTTTCAGACTGTGGGTCAAGACCCATTAGCTGGCCGTGAAATCAATTTAATAGTTCATGACAAGCATTTTTTTTTTTTAAAAAAGCAGTAGAATAGAACAGAAATGTCAGAGTGCGTTGTTTAGGGGAAACTTTGGTTTTAGTTTTCTAATACTAATATATGTACATTTATGCTTTACTTCTCTAAGCATTACAAATTCTGTGTTCTGTTTTTCCTAGTTATCTGTCCCAATTACCTTAGTTCTTATGATTTTAGCCTTTTCAGAAATGTCTGTCCTCACTTCTTCTCCTCACTTTTTTTTTTTTTTTTGGTGAGACAAGGTCTCACTCTGTTGCCCAGACTGGAGTATAATGGTGCAATAATGGCTCACTGCAACCTCGATTTCCTGGGCTCAGGCCATCCTCCCCACTCAGCCTCCCAAGTAGCTGGGATTGCAGGTGTGCACTGCCACACCTGGCTAATTTTTAAATGTTTTTTGTAGTGATGTGGTCTCACTATGTTGCCCAGGCTCCTCCACTCACTTTATTCCAAGTTCGATTATTTCATTTAGACACCATTTAGAATCCTAGCTCTAGTGTTTTTTGTTGACCTGAAGTATGCTCATATTTTTTCCCAGCTATTTGGTGGTGGCTCTGATTTGATCTTCTAAATAAGACAAGAGACTTATAGATTCTAGGGTTCCTGCTTATTTTTCTTGGTGTTTTAGATCTTTCATGTCTCAGTGTATATCAGTGAGTCCCAGAGTCGAAACACATGGGTTTAATTCCGAGCTTCACAGCTTTCTAGCTAAGTGTTCTTGGACAAGTTACCTACCTTCTCTATACCTCAGCTTCCTTATATTAAAAATATAAATAATAGTACCTACCAAATAAGAATGTTCTAAGGATTAAATGAGATAATTGATATTTTCATGGTTAAACAGGTAAAGCAATATTTTTAAAATGGCATAGATTGGCTGGGCACGGTGGCTCACGCCTGTAATCCTAGCACTCTGGGAGGCCGAGGTTGGTGGATCACGAGGTCAGGAGATCGAGACCATCCTGGCTAACATGGTGAAACCCCGTCTCTACTAAATATACAAAAAATTAGCTGGGCGTGGTGGCACGCACCTGTAGTCTCAGCTACTCGGGAGGCTGAGGCAGGAGAATCCCTTGAACCCTGGAGGAGGAGGTTGCAGTGAGCCGAGATCACACCTCTGCACTCCAGCCTGGGCGACAGAGTGAGCCTCCATCTTGGGGGAAAAAAAAGAAAAAGGCATAGATTTAGATTTTAGGGCATTTAAAAGTTAGAAGTGTTGACTCAATTTTTTCCAGTATCCCTATATTCTTATATTCTTGGTTCCAAGTCTTTTCCTCTCAGCCTTATGTTTGAAATGGAAATACTTCATTGTATCTTGCTTTTTCACTTACTTTTCTTAGCGTTTCTGAACTCTCCAGGAAAGCTATAGAAATGGGTGGAACTGTAAAAATTTTTACTCACCTATGCTCTGACATCTACAACGTTCTAATCTGTATGCTTTCTAACAGAGAAGAGGCCTTTTGTTTCTCCCAGAAGCCACTACCAAGATCAAGAGACAGAATGTTCCCAGTATTCTCCAGACTTACCTTGTGGTTTGCCCCAGTGATTACCAGCCCTGTCCTCTACCACTTGGAAAAGATAACTACTATTCTGACTTCTCTCATGATGGATGAGCTTTGCCTGTTCTTTGCCTATGTACTCCTTTGTGTTTGGCTTCTTTTGCTTCTCTTTATGGAGAGATTTTTTAATAATAGATTTGTTTCCTTGAATAGATAGCGAACTATTGAGATTATTTACTTCTTCTTACATTAGTTTTGGTCTATCATGTTTTTTATAAGGGATTTGTTCCTTTCTATTAAAATGATAGTTTTTTGACTTACAGATTTGTTTATACCCTCAAGTTATAATTCAGTGCCTGTAAGATCTTTACATTCTTTTTTGATTTGATTTTGATAATTTGATCTCTTTCTCATTTATTTATTTTACCAGTCTTGCTGGAGTTTATTAATTTTGTTAGTATTTTTAAAGAACCAACTTTGTTAAATTTACTTATTTTTATGGATGCTATCTATTTAATTGGATTCTTCCCTTTTTCTTATTTTTTTCCTTCCTTCTGTTTACAGAGGTGGGTGAGGATTAATTTGCTATTTTTTGAGATGGATAATTAGATAATTACTTTCCAGTTTTTCATCTTTCTTAAAATATGTATTTAGGTCTATTGATTTATCTTTAGGCATGGCTCTAGTTAGATCCCAAAAATTTTAATACCATAGTTTTTAGATTTAATTCAAAAGATCTTTAAAATTCCCATTGTGATTTTTGGCTCTTTTGTTATTTAGAAATATATTGCTTATGTTATAATTATTTGGGGATTTTCTAATTATCTTATTGTTATAATTCGTATTTTAACTGCAGTAGTGGTAACAGAGAGTGTACAAATATTCTGTGTATGAATTCACAGTACTAAGGAACATTCTATTATTTGTTGAGACTTGCTAAATTTATGGCTCGGTATCTGATTCCTTTTGGAAAATATTCAGTGTGGACTTTGAAGACATGTATTCTGTAGTTACTGGGTACAGCATTTTAAATATATCAATTATATCTTTTTTCATTATGCTTTTGATGTTCTCTATATCTTTACTGACTTTTTCTGTTCATTTATTAGCTACTAATAGAAGTGTGTTGGAAAACTTCTATTATTATATATATGTGTGTGTTTATGTAATAATGTATGTATTTTCCTTTTGTTACTGTCAGATTTACTTTATATATTTTCAGATGATGTTAATGAGAGCATAGATTTAGAGTAATTGTATCTTCTTAATTAATGAACTATTCCATTTATCTTTAGTAATGCTTCTTAAAATTTAAATTGTCTCATTGCAGCTACATCAGATTTCTTTTGGTTAGTGTTTGTAGCATATCTTTTTTCATGCTTTTACGTTCACTTCTGAATACATATATCTCTAGGTGTATCTCTTGAAAACGTTTGATATTTTTATTCAAGTAAATCATCTTTGATTTGTAATTTGAATCTTTATATTTACATAATATTTTTAAATAATACAAATGTAAATTAAATATATTTAATAAATTTATGTTTAATGTAATCATTCAGATATTTGGGTGAAAAGTTGTATTTCTATTTGTTTCCTTTCCTTTTTTTTTTTGAGACAGAGTCTTGCTCTGTCACCCAGGCTGGAGTGCAGTGACACGATCTTGGCTCACTGCAAACCTCCACCGCCTGGGTTCACGCCATTCTCCTGCCTCAGCCTCCCGAGTAGCTGGGACTACCTGCGCCCACCACCACACCCAACTAATTTTTTGTATTTTTAGTAGAGACAAGGTTTCACCGTGTTAGCCAGGATGGTCTCGATCTTCTGACCTTGTGAGCCGCATGCCTCGGCCTCCCAAAGTGCTGGTCCATTTTTTTATTTGTCCCCTTTTTTCCTCACTTTTTTGCCTTTTAGATTAATCAAGTTTTAACAGTTATTCTGTCTTTCCCCTTTCCTCCATCAACTTGTTAGTCACTTATTATTATTATTTTTTACAAGAGTGTATCAGCTAAATATCAAGGCTGCCCTCTTGTAATTTACAAAATGGATTAGCATATTCAAGTCTCTAGAAATAATCAGATAAAAACCTGTTTAACGTGATTTAATCCAGTGATTTTCAAACTTCTTTGACTGTGGAAACACAGTGGGGAAATAGAGGCTCCCAGAACACCCACTATTCTAGGGGAAACGCCCATGTAGAGGCTTACTCTAGCTGCATGACCTCCATGTTGTTTCTTAGAAGTTGTGATAAGATTTATAGATAATTTGGGGTTCTATAGTAGGACAGCAACCAGCACAGTAATTTCTTCTTGCTGCCTGAAGCTTGAGAATTAGCCTAAGGGAGCAGGAATTAACATTGTTTTAGGAGCCCTCTGAAGAACATGCCCCTGGGGAAATGATGGCTCATCTACAGCAGGAGGTCAGTTGAAGGACCTGTATGAAGGGCATACATTTGTGTATTACTTATTTCCTCCCAGAAAACAGTTTATGCTCATTGCAGTCCTTGGATGGGTGAGCTGGTGTTCTCAATCTCCCACTCTGGTTATTAAATTTAGAAGATACCCGATTTTAAATACTGTAAATTCCTGGTGAGTTATCCAAAGTTACAAAATCTACTTTTAAGAAGTTAAAACATGCTCCGAAGCTCTGAATGAGGTTGTTAGCTGTAAGCCAATTAAGTATAGGAATCCATCTGCCGTTATCAGAATAGTTAATGTTACTCCATTCTTCTTGACAATAATTAAATAGCATACATCTGCTCATCTAGAAGAGCAATCAACCCGTTAAGACAGAGGTTAAAAAGAAAAGGAGTTAACATCCTTTCCAAGAGGATTTTCATTTTAACTAGAACTATGAGAAAAAGAGTGACACTTGGCCCCAAGAAAAGTATCTCCAATGGAAAAGTTTCAGATGTTGTATGCCGAATAAGACATCTTCCCCTTCTCTTACCCTGTAGGTAGGACAGAAAGAAAAGGGGGCTTGATGGTAAATGGTTAGAAAACAAAGTCTGATATTAGAAAGAAAAATATGATCACTTCATTCAGAATCAAAATTAATTTTCATTCATTGTAGAAAATGCAATTCCGAGAACTTGAAAATTCTAATCGCTTTTTTCCTTTCTCAGGTGTGTCCTCTTTAAGTATTCAATTTGCCAAACTCCCGAAGGGATTAAAGCATTTAAATTTATCTAAAACCTCACTATCACCTAAAGGTACAGTATTTCTTATTTACCTAACAATGTGTCTGAAATAGTTCTGCTGCGCCTGCTACCTTAGTTAGAATTATTTGTAAATGTACTTACATTTAAAAATATATCTATTATATTACTCTGGCAGTTTGAAGATAAAGACATTATGTAATTCAGTGTTTGATGCTCTGAAGTGAAATGCTGTCAGTGTAGAGAATAATTTTGATATGTACATGCAGTCTTTAACTTTTAAAACTTTGAGTCAGGGAACACTCTCCTGTCCGCCTCTATCCTCCTGCCTCACATTCCTAGATGCACCTGGTTGTGTTTATCTTGGTTCAACAAGTTGGCCTTTCTAACTGTCAGACAGACTGTCTGCTTTACAGAAAACTGTTGGGCCTAACTGCTGTAGCTCCCCTCTTTGTAGTTCTGTCTTTAGAGATTTCCTTATCTTCTCTCCAGGTGAGTTCATAAGTTCACTCACCTTCATTTTTTCCATCAAATCCTGTCAATTCTGTTATTATTTTGCCACAGCAGCACCACAATAATAATATTAGAAATTATCCTGCATTCATTGTGCCTTTGTATATCTTCACATTTTGCCCTGGATGCCTGAAAAAAATTTTTTTAATCTCCAAATATTCTCAGAGAGGTTCAGTTTGTTTTATAAAACTGTTTATCTGTGATAAACTCTGCTGAGATGTGTTCCCTGTTCCCAAGGCCACACAGAATCAATGACTGTTCCCTTTGTATTCAAGATCACATATGTAACATTATTGTATAAATATTGTGTCTTTCCTGCTACACTGGGGCTCTCCTTGTGGCCTGTGCTTCTCTCATCTTTTTATCTGCAGCACCTGGCACTGTGCCTGGACTACTGTTTAACAAAAGTTTCTTGAACATCTTGCCATTTCTTAAGAAAGTCACTGTCTTTTGGAAACAGTATGTATAGTGGTTGAAAGTGTCAGTTCTGTAGTCAGATTGCCCAAGGTTGAATTCTGACTTTTATTCTCACATGTCATGCATTTATATATAATGTCTTTGTTCCCAGGTGCCTCATTTGTAGGACAGAAATAACAGTATCTTATTTCTACACAGGTAGTTAGAGTTGAATGATTTAATATACGTACAGTATGGTTTCTGTCACAAAGTGCTTAGTAAACTGCGACCGTCACCCCCACCAGTACCAGCACCAGCACCACCACCACCACCATCATCATAATTATCATCATCCTGAGCTGTCTTATGTTTTTATATGCCTCAGTTTCTACCTGGAGCAACCTTAGTGTCCTTACCTGGAATGTCTCATGAAGTACCATGCATCCTATGCAGATTCGGCTTCTATCTCTGTCTCAAAAAAAAAAAAAATTATTGGAGGTGGATTTTTATTTTAATTTTATTTTTTTAGAAGACAGGTTCTTGCTGTGTCACCCAGGCTGGAGTGCAGTGGTACGATCTTGGCTTATTGCAGCCTCCACCTCCTGTGCTCAAGTGATCCTGCCGCCTCAGCCCCCCAAGTAGCTGGGACCACAAACACGCACTACCACACCCAGCTAATTTTTTTGTAGAGACAGGGTTTCCATGTTCCCAGGCTGGTCTCAAACTCCTGAGCTCAAGTGATCTGCCTGCCTCAGCCTCCCAAAGTGCTGGGATTACATGCATGAGCTCCTGCACCTGGCTGCTTCTATCTCACTTTCTCTTTGAAACGTTCTCAGACAACCTCCTCTCACCACACCTTGTATGACTAGATACCCCTTTCTCTGTGTTCCATAGCTCTTTGTAAATTCCTCTATCTTAGCATGTGTCCATCGCATTTGATTGTGCCTTAGCCTGTATATTTCTGAATAATAAGGGCTTTGCCTCATTCGTTGCTGTGTCCTAGCACTTCTCAGTCTCTCACTGAATGTGCCTTGGATAAATGAGTAAAGCAAAGTCATCCCTTGATGATTTTATATCCATACCATCATACATTATTCTGAACATGCAGTTAAATTAAGAATGGTTTGAAATTGAGATTAGTTCCATAAGTACCATGATTTTATGTGCACACATTTATACACACATATTTAAGATTAAGGCATGAAAATACATTACCAAAGGGATTTCCCCGGGAGTCAGTGTTTTCAGACCTAGTGCCTGAAGCCATCTACAGATCTTACAGCTAAGTTTAACTCCTTTACATTATCACTGTTCTACTTCAGCAAATCCATTTTATATAAACCTTTTTCTGATCATTATCAATGTAGTACACGTTTATGGTAAAGATTTAGAAGATACTAAAAAGTATAAATAACAAGGCAGACCCCCTCTGAAGTCCCTTGTTCCTTAGTCATTTGTATTTCTTTTAGGGAAATCACTAAGTTTATATCCTTTGTTAGTTTTCTGTTTATAGTGGTAATCTTTTTTAAAAAAGTTTATATGACTTCTGTACATATTAAAAGCATTCATTATTTATTGTGTGCTCCATAGGTCTAGTTTAAGTCTTTTATAAGATAGAGTGGTTTTAAAAAACCTGATTATATGAATTGCATCTGTAATTCTAGCCACCCCGGAGGCTGAGGTGGGAAGATGCTTGAGCCCAGGAGTTTCGGGTTGCAGTGAGCTATGACAGTGCCACCGCACTGCAGCATGGGTGACAGAGTGAGAACCTGTCTCTTTAGAAAACAAAAACAAAAACAGAAAACTGGTTATATTAATAATCCTTGATTATATTTATTTTAATTCATTTGTTCATTACTATGTAACAAATAAAAGGATGTAGTGATCATTTATCCTTCCGAGGGCAAGTTTGGTTCTGAGGACCTTCAGTGCCACCTCTCCCTGATGTCCCTGTCCCTTTTAGAGTGGTAACAGTGGGGAGGTCCTATGGGCAAAGCTGGGCTTCTTCACCTCCTTATGATGAGGACAGCTCCACATTGCCTATACCCTTTACAAATAAGGGTCCTCCCATTTATCTCTTACTTGCAATAATATATGTATATATTACAATATGTGTTTTAAGAATTAGCATTGTTTTATAACATGACTTGAAGAATTTTTATCTTATTTTATTTTAGTTTATTTAGACGGAGTCTCGCTCTGTCGCTCAGGCTGGAGTGCAGTTGCATGATCTTGGCTCACTGCATCCACTGCCTCCAGGGTTCAAGCGATTCTCTTGCCTCAGCCTCCCAGGTAGCTGGGATTATTGGCATGTGCCACCATGCCCAGCTAATTTTTGTATTTTTAGTAGAGACAAGTTTTCGCCGTGTTGGCTAGGCTGATCTCAAATTCCTGACCTCAGGTGATCCATCTGCCTCAGCTTCCCAAAGTGCTGAGATTACAGGCAGGAGCCACCATGCCCAGCCTGAGTAATTTCAAATTGCCCTAGAACAAAAATATCTTGAAATGTTTGTTTACTTTTTTAAAAAAATTGACTTCTTGAAGTATTTTACATAGGATCTGAAAGATTCGCAGATTTAAAATGACTGGAGTTACATTGCAGTGTTAAGCTTCTGGTGAATCAGACTGGCATTTATATTCATGGCTCGATAACGCAAGACAGATTTAAAAAAAAAAAAAAAAAACTCCCCATGACATCGCCACTGCCTCCAAATACCCTTTCTTTATCTCAGATGTTAACTAACTGATAGTTTTCTGGATTTCTAGCAAATGTCCTGCTGGTTGCCAGATTATGTCAAGGCAGAGCCATCTGGTACCACCTTTTTCCAGCTGTAAACACTACAATAATAAATAACAGAGAATGGTCAAAATCGCTAGACAGCTAGAATCGAGAAAGGCATGTAAATGTGTTTAGTCAGGGCTGTAAGAGCCTTGATTTTTTTTCAGGTCTATACTTTATAATTATCCACTCTTCGTGGGCTTATTAACACAGGCCTCCTGTGAACATGGGCTCAGGGGGCAGGAGAGGAAATCCTTCGTGCTGTTTCAGTAGCATGAAGCTGAGCTGATAACATGATGCTCTCTCGAGTCTATTCAGATGTTGGACAACTGCCAAGTGCCCGCACTTGTCAAGGAGCATTTTGCTGTCAGGACTAATTTAGCCTTCTATTTTTGGAATTTATTTATTGAGTTTTGTTATACCTCAGTAAGGAAAGGATTTTACAAATGATTTTCTTGATGAGAATCTGATATTGGCCCTATGTTTTGGACTCAATTATTCCATTAAAAAATACATTAATACTAATATCAGGACAAACTAAAGGAAGTTAGTCATTTAAACAGTTATAGAAGATAACCTCCAGAAAATAACCTTTTGTTATAAGCCACCGTACATTCCTCTTATCTAACACAATTAATCACATTTCCTGCTTCTCTACTGCCAAGCTCTTGTTCTTGCCCCATTGATAGTTACTGCCTCTCTGGATAGTGATTATTCAGCTGTCTGTGTCTCCCGCTCCACTGGCCTTCAGCAAGTAAGATGGTATCTCAGAAGACCCTGCCTGGTGCACAGTAGGATTTCAGTAAAGGTTTATTGAAATGAATATTCCTTGTGTAGCACTGACTTTTCATTGCAGAGTCTAAGTAAGTTTTTCCCTAATGGTCTTTGCAATTTTTGAGGGTAAAAAGAAAAAGATCTTATTTATATTTATCTCCTAATTCCCAGCATTTGATTAGCGTTTAGTAAATGGTGAGTTGACAGCCAAGAAGTTCTTTGCACTTAAATATTTTTTATTCGAAGTCTCGGTCTCCTGTATACCCACCCAAATGTGCGCCCACTTTGAGAAATGGCTCAGTAACCTTTATCAGACACACACTAGAATCAGTTTATTATAACTCTCTGAAGTTGGGGAAGACAATGGCCTCTTTATCAGCCCCACACTGAATGTTCTAAGCTCACATCAGGGAGGTGCTCCAGTGGGAGGCTTTACCTGCAACCCATAGCCCTTGTAGTACCCTCATCAGATCCTGCTGCTATGACCAGAACTGTGTCTTACTGGCAGCCCTGACCTTGGCCCCTCTTCTCCATGAAGGGTCTGCCCAAATGTGGAGGGGAAAGAAAACCTTTTCCTGGTTCTCTTTAGAGTGGTTGACTTACTTGAGTCTCAGTTTGATAGGTTGAGATTTTCAAAAAATTTTGCTGAAAACTAAGGAAAACAAAATAATTTATAAAAGTGTACCCAATTAAGAAATAGCCATATTTCTAAAGTATATAATTTGGAACCATGGACTTTTGGGTAGAAACACGAAGAGCTTTGCTATCTCTTACATTCCCATTATGCTAAGTAAAATCATCAGTGCTGTGGTGAGTGATTGAGTCTCAGTGAGTGATTAGACCCTTCTGGGCTCCCATTTGATAATGACACACCTCAAAGAGCTCCTATTCCCTTCTGAAAAGAAGTGGCCCACTAGACAACCATGACTAGCGGGCCCATCAATAATTGTTACCCACCTATAAGAGAACTTCGTTCTATCCATACAGAATAAGCAGCCTCCTCACATATTCATTATTTGTTTTCTGAGGTGGATTTGTCAGTTTAGTTCAGTTTATGTTAACTTGAGCCATTTATGTTTGTGTGTAAAGAGTGTATAGAATGTTAATTATACATTTTTCCTTATGATTGCATCTTACATGGTATACAGATCATCTCCTGATTCTTTGTGAAATCCATTTTAATCCAAATGTTTCCTTGAATGTAATACATTTAAGAAGAGCTGTATACTTTTCTTTTTAACTTCCCAATACTTTAAATAGCCTAAATTATCTGAATTTGGACAGGCATCGTTTAAATACCAGGCACTAACTCAAGAATCACCTGGCAGGATTAAGAGAAGGATAAACATTGTCAACTAGATTGCTTTCATCATTCTAAGGCTTCGGATTAAAATCCTTTCTGTCCTTGGACACATCAGAAGACATGGAGCAAAGGGAAACCAATTCATTACTCCTTCCGATTCAGTGAGGGGGTTGTATCTTTGACCAACCTGTTCTTCCTGAGGGTGTGTCAAAAGGAGACACAATCATAGCGCCACCTTTCGGGGACAGTGCTCATGGTTAACCTCAGTCCTGCAATTTGATGGAACTGTTGGGCCATTTATAGAAACACAAACCTCATTTTGTTTCCTGGAGTGCAAACCGAGCCTGGATTTTCTTGATGTTGCAGGGGTGAACAGCCTTTCTCAGTCACTCAGTGCCAATCCATTGACCGCCTCTACCCTTGTCCATCTCGACCTCTCAGGGAACGTCCTTCGTGGAGATGACCTCTCAGTAAGTTTTTCTTTCTTTATTCCATCTTTGAAGAAGCTGTGTTTAGTAAGCCTGGAATAATTCTAAACGTGACTTTGTAGCGTGTTTCCCTGCCTCTCTCTTTAGCATGACACCTTTGAATTATTTAGTTACGAGCTTACGAAGTGTTTTACTGAAAATTCCAGAGCCTTCATTAATTAAATGTCATATATCACCACAATTTTTTTTTTCTCATTTAATGATGCTGAAGTTCACATTTTTTTTGGAAGTAATGCTGTTGAAGAATTTTTTTTCTTCATTTAAAAACGTTAGCTTACAGGGGCCGGGCGTAGTGGCTCACACCTGTAATCCCAGCACTTTGGGAGGCTGAGGCAGGCAGATCACGAGGTCAGGAGATGGAGACCAGCCTGGCCAACATGGTGAAACCCCATCTCTACTAAAAATACATAAATTAGCCAGGCATGGTGGCATGTGCCTGTAGTCCCAGGTACTCAGGAGGCTGAGGCAGGAGAAGCGCTTGAACCCCGGAGGTGGAGTTTGCAGTGAGCCGAGATTACGCCACTGCACTCCAGCCAGGGCGACAGCATGAGTCTCCGTATCAAACAATAACAACAACAACAAAAACCCATTAGCTTACAGGTTAAAATTGCCTGGTAGGGAAGATTGGGGACATAAACTGAACTTTCTCATTATTTTTATTGTTACTGGGAAGATTGATGTTTTTTTATAGGTTACAATTGAAAGGGAGTATTGGGAGAAACCTGAGCACTCGTTTATTCTGTGAATAAAATAGGGAGAAGAGTGGTCTACACATAACCTGGGGCCATTTCTTCAGAGTTTGAGTGTGAAGACAAAAACTGCTCCCTCAATTATAATAAAATTGTTGATGTAAATGAACCAATAATGTAATATTTGGCAGATCTTTGACACAGTGGATTAGGTATGATCTCATTTCCATATGAGGCGAATGATCCCCTCTGGTCACCAAGATAGAATTTAGAAGAATTGTTTCTTTAACAACATGGCCCACACCCAGTGGCCATCTTTGGAGGGCCTTAATTTGCAATCCACTGCTTTGCCACAGGGCTGAAAAACACTGTGAAATTTATTCTTACTTCTCTTGTTTTGGTTTACCTGTAAGGCAGGAAGTACAAATGAAGGCCTTTTTGTATTTTTTTTCCTTTTCCTCTCCCTTGCACTTAAAATTATTTAAATAATACTTGATTCCTGGTGTGCCATGATTTTTCAATTCATTTTCCAGTTTCTGTTGTTACCTTCACTGACGGTTCATAAATCTGCTCCCTCCCAAAATAAAACAAGGAGGCCAATATGAAACCACCAAAATAATACTGTGGCAAAGTAGAAGAATAGAGGGAAGGGTGAAAGGAGAGGCTAAAGATTATTAAGATTCAGCTAAAATAGGAACATTAATAGTCACCTAAAACAACAAAATAGCTCAAGATTTCTTTTTCTGGCCAGGGTGGGTCCTATTGTAGCTTGCTTCTGGGGAGTGGAACGATGAGGCCTGAGTGAGAGTGGGCTGGAAGGGAGAGTGGGTGAGAAAGACGAAAGTTCCAGGAGCCTGGTGGCAGGTGCAGGAGTTTACCTGACCCTGTGCCCTCAGGGAAAGCAGCCTAACAGGGCCTGGCCTCTTTGGAGAAGTGTGGCCAAATAGTCTTGTCACCATTTCATGGTGATAAGAGCTCCCCCAGCTGGTGGCTGGGAGCAAAGCCACAGTAAACTTAAAAGTCTCTTGAGACAATTTTTGCCAGGCAAACAGAGAGAGAGGCAGAGGATCTTCATGTGAGAGCAAAATGACTTTTCTGAATCAAAACTTTTCATAATGAAATCCATTCTATGGCTGGGTACAGTGGCTCACACCTAGAATTCCAGCACTTTTGGAGGCTAAGGCAGGTGATCTCTGGGGTCCAGGAGTTTGTGACCAGCCTGGACAACATGGTGAAACCCTATCTCTACAAAAAATACAAAAATTAGCCAGGTGTGGTGTCACATGCCTGTAGTCCCAGCTACTCAGGAGGTTCAGTTGGGAGGATGGCTTGAGCCCGGGAGTGGAGGTTGCGGTGAGCCAAGATCATACCACTGCACTCCAGTGTGGGCAACAGAGCCAGACCCTGTCTTAAAATAAATAAGTAAATAAATGAATAAGAAGAAAGAAAGAAAGGAAGGAAGGGAGGGAGGGAGAGAGGGAGGGAGGGAGGATGGGAAAGGAGGGGAGAAAGAAAAGTCATTCTATGTGTATGATTATTTTAAAGTGTTAAGTGTTTATAGGCTATTTTTTTTTTGCTCTTCTGAATTCCTTGATAGGATTCTTCTGAAGCACCATATAGCCAAACTGCTGCACATAGTAAATGTTTGCAAGCACATACTCAGTATAAGCTTGCTTGTTTTTGCAAGTATCCAGTGGTATCCAGTGAAGCAGAGGAGAATTAAGCTATTTGCCTGGTAGCAGGGAGCTTGGACTCAGTTTCTTATGGGTGGGCTCTGGCAGTTGCTACACCTACAGGGTAATTCCAGAACAACATCTCTGTTGATGTTCAACATCTCAGTTGAACTGATCTGTTGATCAGTTTCATTATTTTGATGGCCTTGAATGGGAGGACTGGGGAAATTTAGGCATTGTGACCCCCTGAAACTGGAAGTGTCTTAGCTATTAGTGAAAACTTTTACAATGCACTCATATTACTGCCAAGTCATTCTTGTTAGCTTTGAGAAGTAACTAAGGGTAGGAAAATCATTATGTTGAACAGAAGAGAGGATAGCCTGAGACCATCTTATGGTTCAAATTCAGATTCGTAGTGCTGCAAACACTTTCAAAAGTGATTAGCATTTTGATAGAGTGACTGCAGTCCAGGTGGTATTTTAATCTCAGGAGTTAAAATGAATTAGCACTGTTCCAAAATTGTATAATAAAAATTAAACTAATCAGGAAAACTAAGTCATGTGTAACAAAATGGGGGTTTGGTTTTCAAGATTCCATTTGGCCTTTTTTACTCAAACATAATTTTAACTATTCTTGGGATTTTCACATCAGGGAATGTAAAGGAATGACAGAAAATTCTGGTAATCCCCTTGGGAAGAGCAGAGAATGGTCTAAGAAATTCTGGCAACTTCCTTTTAAAACATTAACTTGCATTGTGTGTATATGTGTTTCTAGAATCCTAACATGTATCTTTTATTTTTTTTCCAGCACATGTACAATTTTTTGGCCCAGCCAAATGCCATTGCTCATCTGGATTTATCCAATACCGAATGTTCCCTGGACATGGTAAATTTAATACACACACACACACACACACACACACACACATATATATTGCTCTGAGGGGTCTCAGAAGAGCTATTTAGATGGGATGTAGGGGACCTCTAATAAAATATTCTCCTGGACCTAGAAATATTTGAAAAGAAGAGTACCTTATTTCTTTTTCAGGTCTGTGGAGCTCTTCTCCGTGGATGCCTTCAATATTTAGCTGTGCTCAACCTCTCCAGAACTGTCTTCTCTCACCGGTATAGATTTATTTCTGCTCTCATTGTCATCTGGAAGTGTCTTTTTCTGAGAAAAACTTGTAGCGATAAGGAAAACGGAGTGATAAAGGGTGAATATTGTGTATGAAAGAAGGTGGCTTTAAGCATTATTTATGAATGTTAGGCCTTGAACATTTTTGTTAATGTAGGTTAATGTTCTTATCAATAATTCCAGCCTGCCTACGTGAACTATGTGATAGCGCAGTATTTCTCATATGTGGTCAGGCAATCTGTCTTAATATGGGAAAAACCCTTTTAGAAACTTTTATAGTTATTTTGCATGAATGAGGTTGGATGTAGGTATAAACTACTTTTGGAGAGTAAAGAGAATAGTTATCTCAAAGTCATGCAATTTTACTTGTAGAAGTAATTGAGGGCCAGTCTGACTACTTCACTTATATACTCCTGACTATAATTGTTTGCAGAATAAGGCAGTAGATTAGAAGCAACAAGGATTCACAAAGAGTAGCAACTTAGAATGCAAAGAGACTGTAGAGGAATTATCAGAGGAATTATGAAGAGTACATGGGTTGTATAGGTATGGAATCTGGGAATATCTAAATAATTAATACAGTTCAACACTTAGCATTTATAATTATGAACATAAATTATAAATATATTTAGTTATTATATGCTTTTAAATAATATGGGTATTGGTTAATATTAGAAATATTTTTATTTTTGCTAATTTGTAAAGGCCTTATATATTTAAAAGGATAACCCTCACTTATTTGGAAAATTCAGTTTTGTAGCATGCTTTATTCCATAATTGTGCCTTGCAAATCAATTACTTTGTATATTAAAGTACTATTTTTTATTACTTCAATATTGATTAAATCTTTACAGTAGCAAAAATATGCCACAAATACCTCCATAGATTAAAGTTAGGGAGTGTTACGTCTGAAAATATAATGGTGGGAAAAGTAGAATTTTCCATGGTAACTATATTTTGGGGAACATTTGAGAGTTTTAATTGAAACCTAGTCAACTCATATATTTGAAGCCAGCTTATAAAGCCATGCTTTGGTGGAGCAGTAATTGACTGGGGAACTGGGTTACAAGATGAAAGCACAGACTATAAAGGTTTTTGTATAATCAGCACTTTTGAGTTCACAATACTGTGAATTCTGTGATGACTGGTCTTCAGTAGAGCTGTTAAGCTTATAGAACAGAATTGCGCTAACAAATTGTCTTGTCTTCCACATGAAAGGTTGTGATTAAACTGTTTAATACCTAATACCTTACCTAGATATAGTTGTAGAAAGCCCTTAGTAATTTTGTTGAAATTACTGCATTTACGTTGAGGTGTGGATTGTCAGCCAGGCTTTTCATTCTTTTATTCACAGATAATTTCATAAGTGTATCCGTCAGGATAAGTTAGATTGTTCCACAGTAACAGTGACCCCTTTCCCCCAGTGTCCATGGCTTTCAGTAACAGTGATTTTGTGACGTGTCCATTGTGGGCTGGCATATAACCTTCACTCCAGGAGGCAGAGTGGCCTCCTATCTAGAACATTCACAGTCATATAGCAGAGAAAAAGAGATCATGGCAGTGCACATACTGGCTCCCAAGGCTTCTCTCTGAAAGTCACACACATCATTTCTGCTCACGTCTCACTGGCCAAAGAAAGTCACGTGGCCAAGCCTGCTGTCAGTGGAGGGATGAAGCATCATCCTCCTTCAAAAAGGGGCAGTGAATATTTGGAAACACTGGAATACTCAACACTAAGACAGAGTAGTAGGAGGAGAAATGTATTTAGAGTAAGTTAACAGTATTTTCTCAGCAGAAAGTGAACAAAAATATACAAGCTTACATTGTTCCACCATATGGAAACAGAGTTGTTTGAGATTTCTTATATCACACAGTCTACCAGAATTGTCTTTCCTCTTAGTTTTATTTTTCATCTTCTCAGATAGAGATTTTTGTTGTTTCGATTTTTCTTCTCAAATAGCCTTCAATTGTCCTGTTTTAAAACTTAAAAAAAAAAAAAACTGTCAAATATTGACAGATTTTCCCAGATCTCTGTACATTAAATATTATTGAATATTATGTGATTGAGCTAAACCACTAGGATGCTCTCTGCCCTGAGATTCCATGAGTCCCTCCACAGAATATGAATAACTGTCATTAAATGAGTGCTTACTCTGCATCAGCTAAGTGCTTTATATATACTGACTTATTCAATCCTTCCATCATTTCTATCAGATAGAACAGAACAAGCAAAATGTTCATTCAGATTCCATCTTGGACTCTTAAATCCTGTTTTTCTTAAACCCTTATTATATAGTGTGGATGCTACCTCATTATTGGGCTGTATGATTTGATCCACATACTTTTCTCCATAATAGCAAGGGGATGTATTCGGAGGTTATAGCCATTTTATTTTGTAGTTTTGTCTTTAACTGTTCTAATGGTTGGCCTGAAATGATTAGGTTTGTGGTATGGGCATAGTAGCTGAATAGGCTCTTTGTAATGCAGGCTTCATGCCATTTGGACTTTCTGTGCTGTTTTAGCTCAACATCAGATCACAATCTTGTTGCATGTGAAACCTGCTACATCTAAAAATATTGCCAAATGCAGGTATTGATCTCTAACATTTTGTGCCACCCAGTGGGAAAGCTTTTAAATTGGTGAGAAATATACATCTTCTCTGACCTCCTATTTTTAAAAATTCCAAACATGGAGTTTCCTGATCAAGAGGTAAAACACAATGAATTCATTGGATATGAAGAATAGCAATGAATTATTTTATGAACTAAGTATTTCTTTACCTCACTTAAGTGGTTCCCTTAATAATATTGGCTTTATGGCTTTAGGTTTTGGACATTTATTTGTTTCTATTTACTTTTAAATTTCTACAGAGAATATGACTGATTTGTAGATTTCATAGTGTCTGAATAATCAATGAATATGTTTGATGAAGGTATAACCGCTTGTATAACTCTTGTGTTTTTTTCAGGAAAGGAAAAGAAGTACCTCCATCTTTCAAGCAATTTTTTAGTAGTTCTCTGGCTTTGATGCACATCAACCTTTCAGGCACAAAACTGTCTCCTGAGCCCTTAAAGTGAGTGGTTAATTCACTTTCTCCAGAGCTTTTAAAGTTCAACTTGTTTTTATGAATGTGCTTGAGGGAAGGGAGAAAGATATATAATCCAAAGACAAAAACCACAGATGAGAATACCTTTTTACTGTGGGGCAGAAAAATAAATTAAAATTTTAAAAAATACATCATGCACTATTGATATTATTGCATCTTCTAAGAAAAAACATCTTTTGGTTTATGACCTTGGCAGGAGTCACTGATCTACAAAAGTTGTATTCCCAGGTACTTACTATTGCTTTTATATTAACCTCTGTTCATTCCATTTCAGGCATATTCATGCGTGTGTGTGTGTGTGTGTGTGTGTGTGTGTGTGTGTGTGCGTGTTTTCATTAACATTTACTCTAAATCTTTCTACTAATAGTAATAAACTCTAAACACATTGTATGTATGCAACAGAATGAATTTTTAGCTACTTTGGTTTCTGAATTACTGAGGTTAGTATGGGCTATTTGGCACTTTTATTTGGCAGCCAACTTATGGGTTAATATCCCTAGTGTAGGTATAGTGGTGAAGTTAAAATTGTTAGCTAAATTGAGGTTTGAGAATAATTTATTATCCTTGAGATTTCCGTTCACTATTGCCAGAAATAGTCAAAAGTTTACTGTACAAGTTCAGTGAATTTGACTCTAGGGTCAAATTCTCTTTGAGTCTAAAGAAGGTATTTTGAAGTAATGATTATGAAAGTTGTCAGATATGCTCAGTTATATGCATGGATTTCTCCCTTCCCAGCTGACTGTAAATCAGCATTTAATTTTTCACTTATAATGTGTATGAAATGTTAAAATTAATGTCTGCTATTCATCTTACTAGAAAATTAAGCTTCATTTAATTTATAAATTATCTTTTCTTTTCCTTTTTTATTTCTGTTTTAAGAGGTATGAGGTTATTGTTTTCATATAGTACCAGATGATCAAAACAATGGATGCCTTTAAAAAAGTAGATCCAGGCCGGGTGTGGTGGCTCATGCCTGTAAACCCAGCACTCTGGGAGGCCGAGGTGGGCAGATCACTTGAGGTCAGGAGTTCGAGACCAGCTTGGCCAACATGGTGAAACCCTGTCTCTACTAAAAATACAAAAATTAGCCAGGCATGGTGGTGTATGCCTGTATTCCCAGCTACTCAGGAGGCTGGAGGCAGGAGAATCGCTTGAACCCAGGAGGCAGAGGTGGCAGTGAGCCAAGATCACGCCATTGCATGCCAGCCTGGCGACAGAGTGAGACTCCATTTCCAAAAAAAAAAAGTAAAAAAAGTAGATCTAGTCAAGTGCTGAAAAAAAAAGTCTGATGTTATGTTATAGCAGGCTTAAAAAATGTTGAGTTAATATATTTGGGATCCCTAAATATAATAGCCACAAATAATAAACACCTCATGATTTGGCTATTTGTATGGATATTAAGAAAGCTATGAGAATCATATTCTAAAGTTCCATTATAATCATACTCATTTACCTATTCATTCAAGTAATACTGAGCATCTACAATGTGCTGGACACTGGATGGCAGAGTAGGAAGCAAAACCAGAGAGGGTCCTTGTCCTGGTAATGTATCAGTAGGAAATTAGCATATTCAAATAGTTTTCTATTTTTAATTCTTTCAATCTTGTTGACTTTTGTATAATATAGAGTAACATTTTATTGGTTAGTGTAACTGATTTTGTGGAATGTTTCACTTTGCAACAAGGCTGGACTTAATGTACTTTGTTGCACAAGTATACCTGTAAATGTTGTACTTCAGAGATATTTTGTAATTGTTAAATCTTGGACCTGATGTTATTGGTGTGAATGTTTGATAATGTTAAGTCAGTAGTCTCTTCAGCTCTGTGTTTTAATCAGTAAAAATTTTAATATGGGGAGAAAGGCTTCATGGCTGAAGATTATGTAAATAAAATTCCACATACACATTTAATGTGATATAATTATTTGAAAAGAACACAAAACTGAAGTTCTCAGGTTTATGTGTGAGAGGGTGAGGATGAAAAGGAATTTGCACAGTACTACCCTAAACTAGACACTGCGCTGGGTGCTTACATATGGCCTGTCACCTTTAATGTTGATAACAGTGATGAGAAGTTGGTATCATTATCCCCATCTTACAGCTGAGGATATTGAGGCTCAGAGAAGCTAAGTAATTTGCCCCAAATCACTATTGGAGATTGGGTTTCCTGAGGAGCCAACTTTGAGATGGAGATTAGCAAATAGGATATTTATAAGGACATTCTCTTGGGATTGCCATCGGTGAAGAGGGATCGGGGAGAAAGCAGGATCAGACAGAAGGGAGAAGTTGCACTGGGAGGCTCTTCCAGTAAAGAGGAAGAACCCAGAGTGGGTTCTGGGAAGTGCCTAGCAGTGTCCGCTGCTCTCAACCAGCTGTCATGGGCTCAGCAGTGTTCCCTACCTCATTCCGCCTTCAACTGCACCAAGAGGGGCAGAAACCCTTGTTTCTCTAAGGGTTTGGGATTAGTAGCAGTGAGAGAATAAACTAAAACAACACAATTACTTTTGAGAGAACGCTTTAAGTTTGGACATAACAATATTTTTCCCCACAAGTTTCCCACTTAATTTGAGATTCTTTTACAAGCAAATTGGGGAAGTAGAGTGTCTTGCGGGAGGTGGAGGTGGGAAGCAAGACAAAGAATATGACTGCTTACTTTATTGTTGCGATTTTCCTTTGAGGCCTTTTTTGGTCCATGTTAATGTATTTCAAAGGGGGTTAGAGAACATGGTGACGCTGTTCCTTGATGTTTTCTAAAATTGCTAGAATAGTCTGATCCATGTGTGTCACAAGGATGTTCGTTGCTCCAGCATCACTCAGAGTGCAGTGTGAGTTCCTGCTTACTGCTCATTCTTGGTCTTTCGTTTTCCCTCCCTCAAGTCTTTCTTGCTGGACATCCCCTTTCTCCCTGCCATGTGGCACCCCTTCTCTTTGACCCCATCTCTCTGGCTGAGTATTTTTCATAAACTTGTTGAATGTGCTACCCTGAAATTATAACTAGTGCCACTGATCTAGAGCTGGAAGAATTAAATTCAAATTATTCTCTTAAGCAATTTTGCAATAGTGATTGGGGATCTAGAAGATGATTGTTAAGGCAATTTTGCCATCATTAGGTTAAAATAAACATCATATTTTTCTATAGAATTTTTCCCCAGTGCCCAGTATGCTTTATTGTATTTATTCTTTTATGTTACTAGGGACAGTTTCTATGGGTTATTTATTTTTACTAGTCTCATGAGTTGTTGCCTCCTAATCATTGGCCTTCTGTAGTTAAATGCCTTAAAGCATATCATTTGTTTTCTTGGCCTTAATTCACATGTGAGAAAAGTAGGAAGTATTTTCCTTCTGTCTAAGCATCATAAAAATACAATGTTGAAATATGTGTCTAAGTCCTAGAAACTCAGCATATATTGGAAATAAAAGGGGCCTCTTTGGTAATATCCTAACTCTCTCATTTTACTGATGAGAACTTAAGACACACACAAAAAGTGATGTGCTTTAGGTCATTCAACCAGTAGCCACTGAGCTGGGACATGAGGACTGGCCTTTTGGTTTTCAGCCTCCAGCGCTTTCAGTGACTCAATACTGCCCCCATGAAAGAAAGGGCACATAAGTAATTTTTAGGAAAGGGAAGCAATTTAATACGTATTTGAACAAGTACATAGATGAGATATACCCAGCCTTTCTCATAGGACAGTGTTTTAGAATAAGGGACTAGTGAACTGAATTTAAAAAGTGAAAAGGAAGGCACTTACTTCCAGCCTCCCAACAGGGTCAGGGAGCGGGAGGAGGTGGGTTTTCATAGCTGGAGGCAGCCAAGCCCCTGTGTGTTCCATGCCACTGCTGGGTTCTCTCTTAGTAGATAAAGCCAGAGAATCACTAGAAAAGAAAATCTCAGAGACTTGGGCATAAAATAATTCCCTACCTTCCCACCTCACCCTTACCCTAGGGTATTTTTGGGGTATGCTGAGTAGAGGTCCTTTTCCTGGCAACATGGAAAACAGGTAGTCACCCCCAGTTAATAAATACCTGGGTTCCACTCTTCTAGTACTTACCACTGGCAGCCTTGTGTTAGAGTTATTGGCATACCTATCTGTTTTCCTTGCTTGAGAGCAGGAACCATCTTTCTGTGTTTTTCACAAAGTCTGATTTAGGGTCTTCTGTCCACTTAGTATAATTTAGTGATTGTGTGTGCATGTGTGAATTTTCTGTTTCAAGCTTGCTTGATGGTGTTGGATTTTATAGGACTGACTTGTCAGAGTGGATCCAAGTGATTAGTCTAATCTCCTCAATTTGCAGATGAGAAAATTCCTTTTCAGAGCAGTGATATATGATTTGTCTCGGCTCAGCAGGTAGTTGGACAGGCAGGATCCTGGACTGCAATTCAAGACATGTGCTTTGTTTTATACCCTTGCCCACCCGCTACTGTAGGTCATTTAATAAAGTCATCTAGATGTAATTTCACATCCTGGTATAGTATGGAGCCTGACTTCCTCACTTACATGTTCCTTAGGGAAAACTAGCTTTACTTTGCAACTCTAATAACAATTGCTTAATAATATTCTAAACATTATTAAAGCTCTTCTCAAGCAGATGCAGGTGGGAATTTATCTGTGATGAGCACAATTTAATTTCAATATGCAATTAGGTGTGCTGTTGGTTTATTTGCATAGGAATAGCAATCCTGCCAGGTTTTACATTTATGATGGGCTCACTGCCTGTCAGGCAAAAGAATGCTGCAGAGTCAGTCTTTCACTGTTGTTGTAAGGCAGAAATGCAGTTGGCATTTTAAAAAGTAAGAGGGTGCTTGGTGCTTGACCTGTGATTCAGAAAAGGCAGTCTTCTTTCTCTAGGCTTTATTCAGTGTGCTTACATTTTTTCTTTTGGGCAATGTGTGGAATGTGTATCTAATATATGTGTTTCCTCCCCTCAGAGCACTGTTATTGGGCCTGGCTTGTAATCATAACTTGAAGGGGGTTTCTCTGGATCTCAGCAACTGTGAGGTAAGAACACCCTTAGATTGTATACTGGAAGAGATAATAGCCTTAACCGCTTTGTCTTTTTCCTGGATAAAATGTGATAGATAGTGTGATTCCACAGAGTGTAAATGAAGCAGAAAAATACATTATACAAGTTTATAACGTTCTGTACTTTGCAAGTTTCTTCTACAGACAGCCACAGAACACCATTTAGAAAACTTTCAAGTATGGTTTTAATGACTTGGGTTTTGTTGTTGTTGTTGTTGTTGTTGTTCCATTCTTGGTGCCGGATGGCTGAGTATTTTATGATGAAGCCTTGAGATATAAAACCATAGACTTGCTTTGCCATCATGAAAATGAAACATGCAGCATTTGTTGCAGGGGATAAATGTGTATAACTTAACTTGGATTTTGTAGAGCGTGAAAGAGAATGGCTGTCTTATTAATTTTACTTTGTAATATCTTGATTTAAAACAAGAAAATTAACATACCTCTAAAAAGTATAGCAATTTCTAACACTTCCTATCAAAGAGCTCATAGAGAAGAATTGAGACTAAAGTGTCTGTATTTTACAGGACACCTAAACTTTTACTATCTTTGAAACTTTTACTTTGTGTGGCTAGTAAGAAGATACCCAGATACAAACTATATGGCCTGTTCAGAGCCTGACTTAACATGTCAAACCTTACCACTTCTTCCCAGGAAAGGAGATAGAAGTCTCCTTATTCCTATTCCCGGGCCTTTACACTCACTGTTCTCTCTTCCCCAGCACTCCTACCATGTCCCTCTTCCTCCACCTCCCCAAGACCTCCCTCTCTTTGAGGAATTAACTCACGTGCAGTCTCCTGCATACGTGCATCAGCCTCCTAGGCTATGCAATCCTGGATGAATTGGTTAATATCACTAAGTCTCAATTTCTGTGCCTGCAAAATGGAGATAATAGTACCTCTCCCAAGGGGTTGTTATGAAGTTTAAAGGAGCTCTTTTTGAAAAGTGCTTCTTAGGGTATCTGGTACGCAGAAAAGTTGTTTGCTCTTGCTGGTTTCCTATCTGTCTGCCAAATTTCTTTCCTGCCTGCTTCAGCCGTTTGTGATCTTGATCTTTTCTAATTATCTAACCCTTAATGATAATAGCATATACTTGGACGCTAAAGCGCCAGTCGTACCTTGCATAGGTATTAAATTAACTCCTGTATGCTTGGATGTAACTTTCTGGAGGGCAGTATATATGTCATACTATATTTTGTATTTCCCCTATCTCCTAGCAAAATGCCAGGCACCAAGCCAATACTAAATATTGAGTAAAATTAATGCTTTGCCTCTATGAAAATTCTAGAAATGGACAAGTCTGAATTTGTACCATATAAATTGTTAGTGTAGTATTTTTCATTAGTTTCAAGCTGGAGTGAACACCAATTATGTGATTGAACAGTCTTATTGTTTTGAAAAAAGAAAAGCAAAAAACAATACAGAAAGACATATTGTTAAAAAAAAAAAACCCAGACAATAGAACCCTAAAAAAACTAACCTTACATTGTGGAATTTTCATATGCACATTAATTATCTTTCGTTTGTAAAAATAGACTATAGTAGAGAAACCAAATCTGGTAATATTAATTATTTGTTTGCCAGCAGTTTACTGAGGGGCATGCCAATAGTAATTTTATTTTTTATTTTATTTTATTTTATTTTAGAGACGGAGTCTCCCTCTGTCACCCAGGCTGGAGTGCTGTGGCACAATCTCGGCTCACTGCAAGCTCCACCTTCCAGGTTCATGCCATTCTCCTGCCTCAGCCTCCCGAGTAGCTGGGACTACAGGTTCCCGCCACCGCGCCCAGCTAATATTTTGTATTTTTAGTAGAGACAGGGTTTCACCATGGTCTCGATCTCCTGACCTCGTGATCCTCCCGCCTCGGCCTCCCAAAGTACTGGGATTACAGGCGTGAGCCACCGCGCCCGGCCAGTAATTTTATTTTTAATTGGGGGAGGAGTAAGAGACGAAGCCAGTGGGATAGGTTATTCCGTATTTAAAAAAAAAAAAAAAGAAAGAAAGAAAAAAAAAAAACAGGCCAGGCACAGTGACTCATGTCTGTAGTTCCAGCACTTTAGGAGGCCAAGGCAGGTGGACCACGAGGTCAGGAGTTCAAGACCAGCCTGGCTGAGATGGTGAAACCCTGTCTCTACTAAACATATAAAAATTAGCTGGCAGTGGTGGCAGGCTCCTGTAATCCCAGCTACTCAGGAGGTTGAGGCAGAGAATTGCTTGAACCTGGGAGGCGGAGGTTGCAGTGAGCTGAGATTGTACCACTGCACTCCAGCCTGGGCGACAGAGTGAGACTCTGTCTCAAAAAAACAAAAAAGCAAGTTGGTGTAAACCTTACTGCTCTATTAGATCAAACTACTAAATTAGCAATAACTTCTAATGTGGTTTTACAGTCCTGATTAAATATCGTGACTGCCAGCAGTCTAACATCTTTTATTCAGTTCTGTGATAAAACTGAGATGGTTCCTTAATTATAGGTAAACTGAGGTCAAAAGAGGTGTAAATAATATAACTACCAATGGCAGACCCATGATGAAAATACTGTCCTGATTCTCTGTTGCTAATAGTTATATTGACAGTGATAATTATTAGACTACTAAGTATGGTTAGGCATTTTCTTCTCAAATAAATTGATAGGGGCCGTGTTCCCAAAGATTGCAATATACCTTGTCCCTTAAACTCCTTTGTGATCTATTGAGAATAACTTTCAGATAGTTATAGTAGAAGAACTGTATAAAACTGATATTTTGCATGTCAAAAATTGCAGACTATTGGCAGTTTCGTAAAGTTCAACCTAATTGCTAGTAGACTTTATCTTTTATAATTTTTTTTTTAAATGAAGGCAGGAATTCAGGTCAAATGGTTAATCTCTGATGATGGGATTGAACAGTATTGTTATGAAAATTCCAACTTCATTTTGGCCTTTCACTTATGCATTATATGATAAATTGATACTGCTGATATGGGGAAGTCTTAAAAGTATTGTAGTACCATGTTCTCCCCACTTACAACTTGAATCACAGTACTGGCGACCACATTTATAAAGTCACATGTTATGTTGATGCTCATGAAAGTTGGTAAAACACAAAATTATTTTTCTAAACTATGTCATAGTATTTTATCACATTTTGTTTCTTAGGCCTAGATGTCCACATTTAAGTAGATTTCAGTTTACTTCTCTTCATGATATAATATATCTCCCCCCAAAAGTGTTTGGATTTCCAGTATAATTCATACTGGAATGCTTGACACTTTGAGTGTTAACTGTTTGAGTCTTTAATCATCTGTATTTGATATTGCAGAGTTTATGTAATCCTCTTAGAAGCTCTTTCTATCACAGAAGTTTAAAATCATGAATATGTATATTTTCTTTCTGCCTGTTCCCTATTTAACTACAAACCCTCTCCACTCTTAGCATACCAGTCAAAATCATAGCAGCTTCAGCCCTTGACTTTTCCCGATGATCATATAAATCTAGTCTTAAAATCCAAAAGGTGGTGAGAAATGAAATTTCTCCTTGATACCATTGTCATCTTGGGAAGTTACTTTTCTGAGGATGACTTACTCAGGCTGAGGGGCTGGCAGACCTGGGACAAGTCAAGGTCCAGAGTGTTCAGCTGGCAGGTGTTGATCATCCTGCTGGGGTTGGGGGAGGAGGTGGGGAGGGCCGGGGGTTGGGGGGATGGAGACGGATAGGGAGGGTTTGTCCTGCAGTACTGCAGTCCTGCAGTACTGCAGTCCTGCAGTTTCATTTTTTTTTTTTTTTGTGTGATGGAGTTTCGCTCTGTCGCCCAAGCTGGAGTGCAGTGGCGTGATCTCAGCTCACTGCAACCTCCGCCTTCCGGGTTCACACCATTCTCCTGCCTCAGCCTCCTGAGTAGCTGGGACTACAGGCATCTGCTACCACACCCAGCTAATTTTTTGTATATTTAGTAGAGATGGGGTTTCACTGTGTTAGCCAGGATGGCCTCGATCTCCTGACCTCGTGATCCACCCGCCTCGGGCTCCCAAAGTGCTGGGATTACAGGCGTGAGCCACCGCGCCTGGCTACTGTAAAGAGTTTTTGACCCAGATTTATTTCTTCTCCTGGTAGGGGGAATAAATCCAGTGATGGATTTTAAAATCAGATTAGTATGAGTGTTATAGAGGGTAAATGATGGTAAAATATGGTAGTTGAGATTATTGGGAGAAAAGGGAAAACAGTCTTAAAGTAGGAAGTAAAAGTGTTTGGACAGGGAGCTTAGAATAACTTAAGCAAGTTATTTTTGATTTTGCCATATGCTGGTTCCTTTACTGTTCGTTCTCACCTTTCCTAATAAGTTGGCTTGTAGTTCTCAGGGTATTCTTTATTCCCCTGAAATAGGCATTTTTTTAATGAGAGACAAAAATCTCATTAATTTGAATGAGAGAGGAGACTTACACTTCATGCTATTAAAAAAAAAAGTGCCCTGTGGGTATTTAGAACGTATGGAGTTGCTTTCTTACAATACAAACATTGTTATTTGGAAAATTAAATCTAAAATGTTGGTCTATAGTCTTTTGGATCTGTGATAACTAAGGTAATAAGCACTGAAATTACCCTTACATTTTCAGGTAACTTCTATACTTATAGGAAAAAACTTCTATGTTCCTTAAGGCATTTTGCATTAATGATATCATCACCTCTGTTTCTTTCCCTTGGTCTTTTAGTATGGAAAAGGAGTCTGTCTTGTATGTGAAAATGACTCAAAGTAGTTATGGGAGGCAAAAGAGTGAGCCAAGGGTGAGCACTTTGGAATCAAAAGGCCCCCTTTGAAACATGGCTCACTTACTTGGTTTATTAGGTGACTCACCTTCTTTCAGCCTTTGTTGCTCATCTATTGAATGGAAATAATGGTTTTCAAGGCTAGCATCTGGCACAACGTCACTACGCCAGCCCAGCATATGTGAGCCATCATCTAGGGTGTAAAAGGTTTGCAATGGACGAGCTTTATTTGGAATGTCAGAATTGGTATCATAGGTCAGTATTGCCCTTCTAAAAATTTTTATTTAGCAGCTTTATGAATATTCAATCTTTACCAAAAAATTTTTGGGAATTGCCTTCAAAGCTGTTTTACATCTTTCAATAAGGATTACTCTCATCAGCTTATTGGTGAGACAGATTCTTCTTGAAACCTGATTTTTTTTGACACAAGACAGTATTATACTTCATGGCCAGATTAGCTTCAGGATGGCCTGTGGCTGATCCTTATTCATTCTCAAAGGGTTAGGATTTAGTGTCAGTACAGATGTTCAGAGAAATGTGTGTATTCCATTGCCCTCTAGGTTAGTTCTGAAGAGCTTCAAAACCATTTTATATGGCAGTAGTGATATTGTCATTCATGAGTATTCTTCCCATGTACCCAAGTATCTGAAGAGAGGCAATGGATCTATGCATTTTGTTTTTTTAATTGAGACGAAGTCTTGCTCTGTCACCCAGGCTGGAGTGCAGTGGTACAATCTTGGCTCACTGCAACCTGCACCTCTAGGGTTCAAGCTATTCTCCTGCCTCAGCCTCCTGAGTAGCTGGGATTACAGGCATATGCCACTGTGTCCGGCTAATTTTTGTATTATTAGTAGAGATAGGGTTTCACCATGTTGGCCAGGCTGGTCTCAAACTCCTGACCTCTAGTAATCTACCTACCTTGGCCCCCCAAAGTGCTGGGATTACAGGTGTGAGCCACTGTGCCTGGCCATGTGCATTCTTGTATGTTTAAAAATCTTATAACTTCATAGTTATACATTAAGAGAAGAATTGGTAAATGATGGGACTAAATTCTTCAAACTTAATCTCCTTCCAAATGAGAGACAAAAATCTCTAATACTTCAGAGAAGATGCAAAGGGCAATTAATTGTAGTTGTGGCTTAGTTGCAGGCCTAGGTGTGGGAGTTAGTTTCTTGAAGTGGAAACTTTTCTAAAGATGATCCTACAGTTCATTGCAATTCATGATGAGTAGAAAAAATAACATCAAATACTGACATTTGTAATGAGTTTTGCAGCAATTGAATAGAAACTTTTACAGTTTCATTCCGTTTGATAATCATTCGACCAACCTTGAGGCAAGCATCATTGTAGTTCCCCTCACCTATCACTTCCCTGTTAGGCCAGGTATGGAGTGCAGAATTGCAAATGTTTCATGTGACAGGATGCATATATGAAAGCAATGAATATCTGCACCTATTTGCACCTTGAAAATGACTGTATTTGCCTGAGCATGGTGGCTCATGCCTGTCATGCCAGCAGTTTGGGAGGCCAAGGCAGGCAGATCACTTGAGGTCAGGAGTTCAGGACCAGCCTGGCTAACATGGTGAAACCCGTCTCTACTAAAAATACAAAAATTAACTAGGCATGGTGGTGCACGCCTGTAATCCTAGCTACTTGGGAGGCTGAGGCAGGAGAATTGCTTGAACCTAGGAGGTAGAGGTTGCAGTGAGTCGAGATTGTGCCATTGCACTTCAGCCTGGGAGACAGTGAGACTCTGTCTCGAACAAACAAACAAACAAAAAAGGAAACAACTGTATTTATATACATCCTTCTTAGGTACTAGATTGTTATTTGGCATCAAGTCCTGCTAGAAAGTGGGCATTATGAACTGGATGTTGTCTAATCATTTTTTCTGTCCTTGGAGAAACCTATACCATTCAGTTTTATGTATGAAAATTTCCCAGGATAAAAATTAATTTAAAAAAATTACTATTGGAACCCCTATGAAAGAATAGTAGGTAATTTGGGGGTCATTTTATATTTTTGCCATATCTTTTTAAATGATAAATGATATTAAGGAAGGAAAGTAAATTATTGGAAGTTCCTTCTAGATTTTAATTTTCCTTGCTGTCCTTATCCCCATTATGGATATTTGAGTGTTTGATATTACTTTTTCCTTAGTAATGAGTAAGATCAGAAATGTTCCACTTTCCTTGAGTGAGAGGATACTACTCTCTTGAAAGAAATGTGATTTTATTTTTAAGAGTTCAAAAAGTGTTCGTCATTTTAGTCACATTTACTTCTCTTTGATCTTGCTTGCTTTTAAATAATGCTAGTGTGTGGGATCCAAATAAGGGTAATTTAAAAACCAGTTTTACATGCACACATGCAGACAGCCTCTAATTATGCAAATTCATTTAAAAGGATTTTCATTTACAGTAATGAAAAAGCTTTTACTGTTTTGGGAAAGCTTTAGCTTTTGGAGAATTTTAGACATTTAATAACCTGTGACTTAAATTGAATGTTCTTGGTAACTGAAGCGCAGTTATTTTTGTATCTAAATTTTTGTTTTGGGAGCAAATTTTAGTTAGAAGTATTTTTCCTGACTCTGCTTTTTTACGTTTTGTATTGATAGAGACTTTAGCTTCTTCTTTATTCTTGTTCTGCATACTGCTGATAACGTTTTCTGTTTTTTCTCCTTGGGCTTTCATTAGCTTGGCCATTGTGTAAGTACTTTATGAATCAATTAGAATATATTGATACATTTGATTATTTTTTAAGTATCGGAACATATGTTTTATGTGTATATGCTGCAAATATTATCAGTAAGGAGTATGTATAAGCAAAGTTAAACCTTTAAATGTTACCTGTATTTTCTATTTTTATAAATGGAATATTTTTACTATACTTTACAATGATAGAACATAGACATTTTCTAACAAATTTTATTTCTCAACAAGTAAATAACTCTCAGCAAATATGAAATTGTAAAGACTTACGCATTTACACTTACCTTCTCAAAAGCATACTTTTTTCTTGCTCTAAAAATCAAATTGTTTTTGGAGAAGTGTTTACTTAAATTAGTTCTTGTTTTAGCTTTGACATAATGTATGTACACATTTAATTCTTCAAGTTTAAACAAGCTGTGACCAAGAGCCATGCTTTTCAGAACTATCTGTAGTAAATAAATTTTTATGTTTTTTAAACTTCCAATCTATCATAAACCAATACATTTATAAAATATAATAAGAATAAAATACAAGAAAATTTAGAAAGATGTGAGATATGCAAGCCCCCAATTTTTATGATTAGATACAACAGACCTAAAATGTTTACTACTAAGGTTTCTAAAAATTTTTACACTCAATTTCTGTACTTATTCATCTCAGATTTTGAGTAGCAAGGTGCTGGGAAGATGTACAGGTGTCATGATGAGACAGGCCTGATGGGGCATTTGGGTAAGCTGGAGAGCTCCTGAGAAAATAAGCAGGTGTAGTGAAATGGGCCCGCCACTCATTCCTGACAATAGCTTCACACACAGGTTAGAAGCCCTTCAGCTGTGAAGTTGGTTTTGGTTTCCCTGAAGTATGTAAACCAGTCTCTTGGAGAGGTCTGCCTCTCTGCAATACTCTACTTCAGAGCTCACCTTAGAGCAATCTGTCACCTTAAAAAGTAGAAATGGCAAGATGCGGTGGCACATGCCTATAATTCCAGCTACTTGGGAGACTGAGGTGGGAGGATTGTTTGAACCCAGGAGTTCAAGACCAACCTGAGCAACACAGTGAGATACTGTCTCAGAAAAGTAGGAATGGCTGAATGTAAACATCCCCACTGTAATTCTTCTGAATAGAGAGCATTCTCAAAGATCTGTGCAGAACTCTCTGCTTACCATACAAAAAGCTAGAGAGGTTGGCAAGTTCTGATCCAAGGAACCAGCAAAATATTGCATCCAAAATAGGGAAATGAGGATTCTTCTAATTCTTACATCAAAACCTAGACATGTGGAAAATAGCACCTTGTATTGTAAATTTGTTGTCAAAATTTTTATAAATTTTAATTTTCCTACATGAGTAAAGGACTTGCCATGTTCCTTGGTTCACAGGTTTCCAATAAATGATAGTTTGTTTTTCCTCATTAGATAATAAGTTTACTGAGCAAAAGGGCCACATCTTAGGGAACTTTGCATCCTTCACAGTGTCTTACACAGAGTAGGAACTCAACAAATATTGCTGAATGGAAAATACAAAGATATTATGACTCCTGTAAAATATGCTTTGGTTTCATAGGAAAAGATGAAAAGTGCTGTACTGGGTTTTTCAGGTTGTTTTTCTCTTTTAAATAAAATTGCAAATGGGGTGAGAATAATCATTTGCACTTAGTTTTGCTCTAAAATAATCATCATAATGATATTTTATATTAATTCAACATTTTTCCCTCCATGACTCGAAGCATTTCTACAAATCATTTTGCAGTCATCTTTAGTTAGCTAATTATTAGTGAGAACTCACACTCGTTTCTTAGAACAGGTAGGGATGGGTCCTTCCTGAAATGTTTGACAATCAAAGTAAGTCTTTATGTCTCCTTTGGTTGGGTGGAGAGTTTATACCTTGGAATCGGTAACAGTCAAATAAAACAGTAACTTTCTCATGTATAAAATGAATTTATTAGATTTCCAAAAGTCAGAAATGAAGAAGTTCTTCCGGGTTGACACTGCTTTGCTATTATAGTGGCCTGGGTGGTGGTCATCTTGTTTCTCTTTTGTTTTTTTCTAATGGTTTTAGGTTTTTTTTGTTGTTGTTTGTTTTTTGTTTTTTTTTTTTTTTGAGACGGAGTCTCGCTTTGTCGCCCAGGCTGGAGTGCAGTGGCCGGATCTCAGCTCACTGCAAGCTCCGCCTCCCGGGTTCACGCCATTCTCCTGCCTCAGCCTCCCGAGTAGCTGGGACTACAGGCGCCTGCCACCTCGCCCAGCTAGTTTTTTGTATTTTTTAGTAGAGACGGGGTTTCACTGTGTTAGCCAGGATGGTCTCGATCTCCTGACCTCGTGATCCACCCGTCTCGGCCTCCCAAAGTGCTGGGATTACAGGCTTGAGCCACCGCACCTGGCCTTGGTTTTAGGTTTTAATGTGGGATCACGTGGCACAGGAAACAGCAGCAGTGGCTAGTGATAGGCTCTTTACAGCAGCAATGGCTAGTGATAGGCTTTTTTGGAGTTGATAAGCTTTTACTTTTTCTTTGGTACTAAGTTTATTTTAAGACTGACTATCTCTCCTATTTTTAATATTTTGATTACACTTCCAGTAGAGTGAAGACTTTACTCTGTGTTTGGTTTGTGTTTCTCCAGCTGAGATCAGGAGGTGCTCAAGTATTAGAAGGTTGCATTGCTGAAATACACAACATCACCAGCTTAGACATCTCCGACAATGGTAAGTCAGGTATCAGAAAAGAAATGAAACTGAAATATTTTTTGAAGCAAGTTAATAAGGGGAAAATAATCTTCTACCCAAATCCAGACATACCTTAATAAAAATGTTATTTTATTTCTTAACTAATAAGGCTTTTAAATTTAACAATAGGATTTATTTGTAGAATAAAACTGTGCCAGAGTCTTACTAAGTTGATTCTGTGGCCAACTATGCAAAGTCTATGCAGTAAAACAACTCAGTTACAAAAATATCACCAGTACATTGAAAAAGGTCTGAGCCCAACTTTTTGCATTCTTGCTGATAATAAAATTGTACTCTTGTTTATTTATTCAGAAGCTTATTTCATTAGCTTCATTTCTGCTGATTGTAGTATCATGTTAGTATGAACCTGTGAAATTTGCATAGACAACTTTAACTCCACTTACCCCCTAGTGAACAGTTTGTTGGAATCTTCTCTAACAGAGTGGTGGGGAGAGATGAAACTTTCTGCCATTATTCATCCCATTTCCTGCTGACTTGGTTTAGCCACTGATTGTATAACAGATTTAGATAAGTCTTTGTAGAGAATGAGTTTATCCCTGTGAAATAATAGGACAAGAAAAGAGAGCAAAGAGTGCCTTTGAAAATGAAAGATTAGAATCCCAGGCCCCTCAGGAAGGTAAAGGAAGTCATCGAACTACATGTCACCTTTGCTTAATTGTGTTCCAGCTGAGAATTAATTTATACACATGTGTTTTGATGCTTTATTTACTCTGATTCTTTCCAGGTTTAGAATCTGACCTATCTACCTTAATAGTGTGGCTCAGTAAAAACAGATCAATACAACACCTGGCGTTAGGCAAAAATTTTAATAATATGAAATCCAAGTAAGAGTTTTGAATTTTTTTATATGACAATGATGACAATAACCAGCCTCCTGAAAGCTTTTGATTTGATTCCACTGTCCACATCTCTAAAATCTCTTTAGAAATCTGACACCTGTATTGGACAACTTAGTACAGATGATTCAAGATGAAGAATCAGTGAGTATTATGTTAAACATTTTTTACTAAAATCTTCTGTTTGTTGCCATTCTTACTGATTATTTCTACTGGATTAATTCTGAAATCCTTTCAGATAGTGTTATCAATGTATACATTTTCCATTACTTTTTAAAAATGGAATAAATATGCTTTAGTAGACTTGTAGAATGTATTTAAAAACTCACTTTTTTACTTCATTCAACTCACTGTCAATTAAAGGAAGATTGTCACTAATAGATAGAAGGAAGTATAAATTAACTCCTGGGCCTATCTTTTAATTAGCCTTACTACTTCCTAACTTTAGCTAATAATCTAATCTGCAGGCATGAATTTTTACAATCTAGTTGACTTTATGACCTTATATAATGCTGAGAAATATCATATTGCTAATTTGAATTTCATCTAATAATTATGTGGCATTATAGGAGACCAAGGAAGTTTTCTTCCATCTTTAATTGCTGCTTGAAGTCTAGTAGCGCTCTGTATTTTTAATTCCCTTTAGTTGCTCCTGACCAAAATTTAGTTCAGGGTAAAGAAGTTTAATTTCAAATAGTATCTTATTTTGCTGCCCTTTAAAATGGATTAGGAGAAAGAAAAGTTATTTTATGGACAAAGTAAGAAGCACTCTACCATGAATCCATTTAATTTAGAGCTGGTGTGTTGCACCTTATACTTTACTGATGCTTTTACAATTTTGTTCCTTTCCTCTCAAAGTCCTATTTGGTCACCAGACTCAGCTTTTCCAGTTTCTAAAACTCAGATCAGTTTGTATTCCTACTATGAAGAGTTATATTATTCATGTTTTGTAATAGCTGCCTTTGTAGGTCATGAGGGTGATTTTTATATTAATCATGTGGAGTATGTCACATTTTGAAAAAGTGTAATTTTCCCTTCTGAATTCATACCAGGGAATAGCAAATTCTATTACAGCTGTAAGCTGACTTTTCTGTGAAAGCTAAGAGACCAGGAGGGATGGACACTGGACACTTCCTCACTTGCTGTTGCCCCCACTTCTTTGGCGGGGCTCTGAGCTGGTGGGCAGGAGAAAATTCTGTTCTGTTTCCTCTTCATTGTGCATGTAATTTTCAACCTGTGGGCTAGAAAATGAATCTCATTATTATTTAATGAATTCAGCACTTCTCCTTACCCTCATTTGCTAATAAACCCCACATTTTGTTGCTCTTATGCTGGGTTATTGAAATTAGGGATATAATTAGAATGTAATTTAGACTTCTCAGAGTTTATGCTGTTTGCTTTACGTATTTAATTTGACTTTGCATCACTCTGCTTTGTCTGAGTTTCTGATTTTCCAGTATTGGCCCAGTTTTAACTGATTACGGAAGCTAATATTATGTAATTATACTTAATATTCACCCCAAAATGGTTTTTTTTCTTAACACATACTTTAAGAAAATTTATATTTTTATTAAAAGTATATAAATTTTATGTTTTGGTCATTACGTGAGGTTCTTCAAACCATCTATAATTCTGGAAGTCTGTTACTTAAAGATAATAATAGTTAAAATATACCTAAAACCATATTTGCAGATGATGAAGTTTGCTATATGAATGTGAATTTTGTCAAGTTAGAAGTTTGACTAGAGTGTTGCTCGTAATGCTGTACAATGAAAAGCTTTTTATGTTCCTGCCATTGAAAAGTAGATGGCTTTTTCAGAAAGCAGTTACCTTCTATTTTCTTCTACTTTTAAATCGGTAATATGCAAAACAATTTGAAATGATTAGGAGATGAGTCTTGTGATGATAAAAATTTTATCGATACTTGGTACAATTGGGATCATTTTTTGTTTTATTTATTTATGAGTTTTACCTATTAAAAAAGTAATCTCTTTGCTTTTTACATTCTGACCTGGTGTTTGTAGAGCTTGTTCTTTGACAAGCCTATGGAATACCTTATTCACCCAGTATTGTACATTATGTTCAGTTGAAAAACCTAGATGCTGGTGGATTCCAATGTCACCTTCATCTATAGACAGTGGTTTTGAGGCTGCTGCACCCAGAGTCATGGGACAGTAACATAGAGGGGCCAAGATGACAGGGAGTTTGTTCTGAAGTATTATACATATGAACCCGTATTGTAACCAGCAGAACAGAATGTGTTTCTCCTGGGAGTGCCTGTAGCCAGGAGACAGATTCTCAGATTAAGCATGTTCAGCTATGAAAAAGAAATAGTAAGATTTCAAATAGTAATGTTACACAGAAGTACAATAAATCAAGAAGGGATGACCTTATAAATATGCATACAATTCAGGCTGTTCTGTTCACATTAATGACTACCTATTATTTTTAAGTATTAACTGGGGTGTATTAGAATTTGAATATAGTCCTGTAATTGATGCTTGATAGCTCAGAGAGTTGGCAGTTTTCCAATATTAAAGATTATTGAAATGATGAAAGATGTGATTACATCTTTTTTAAAGCATATTGTGTTTGTTTTTCTTTAAAACAGTAAGTTTCCTGAGCCTGAAGCATTTTTAGTTGTCATTTCTGCTTACCTGTATGTAGGATGTTAAGAAAATTGAAGAAACCAAGCTAAACCCACTTGAGTCTAAATGCATGCAGACTTTTTGGCCCAGGTTTTAATTGTCTTAGCACTTACCAGGCCATTTAACTTTTTATAAATTTGATTCTGATTAATACAGCATTACCTTTTGATTTTACCATAAATGTATTAACTTTGAAAGCCATGGTAAATTTGGATGATAAGGACGATAATATTGTCTCTTGGTACCAACCACATGCATAAAATAATGCTTTGTTGATATCTGCGTCTTGAAACCATCAACACCCTCATTCTGTCTCCTGTAGCCCTTTGGTAGATGAACCTCTCACAGATGTTGCTTTGGAAGTCAATGTTAAGTGGTTGAGTAGACATAGATAAACCCCAGGCTGTGTGTGGGGGCTGTCATGTAGACCACCCAGGCACACCTTGAGAGCTCCAATCCCCAGGCCATTGTGGAACTTGGTCATAGATTACCGCAGAAGCTGCTTCTATCACTACTTCCTGTAATGTTGGGACTGCTTATGCAATAACCATACAATTTGTTTAGTGTGGCTAGGACAATATAGAGCACTCCACGCAACCCAGGAGACATCCAGATCTCCCAGGGAAGTCTGAGCTCTGACATTTAGAGCCACATTGGTTCAACCTGGTTAACCTGGAATTCTTACCCCACTTCAGTAAGTTATGGCTTAAATCAAGGAATGCAAACTCAAATGCCCACAGGGCTAGGAAGGCAACATAAACTAGTAAAGTGAGCTGGGTGTAAGTAGGAAGCTCTATTAATTTATTATTATTATTATTTTGGTCAGATACCATGCAGGACAAACAAAACCTGCCTTTAGGCTGAGTGGCTTTCAATATCTGGTTTAAATGGACAATGAGTGGGCTGGTTTGGATTCACCATACAGCTTATGGTCAAATAAAAAGGTCACACAAGACCTGGTGTGGTGGTTCACGTCTTTAATCCTAGCACTTTGGGAGACTGAGGCTGGTGGATCACTTGAGGTCAGGAGTTTGAGACCAGCCTAGCCAACATGGTGAAACCCTGTCTCTACTAAAAATACAAAAACTAGCCAGGCATGGTGGTAGGTGCCTATAATCCCAGCTACTTGGGAGGCTGAGGCAGGAGAATCGCTTGAACCCGGGAGGTGGAGGTTGCATTTAGCCGAGATTATGCCATTGCAGCACTCCAGCTTGGGGGACAGAGCAAGACCTTGTCTCAAAAAAAAAAAGCCACACACAAGTTTGACTTAAAAAAAGAATTGTAGATGTATCTTCTGATTGAAACTTAACAGATAAAGTTAAGGCTGGGTGCGGTGGCTCATGCCTGTAATTCCAGCACTTTAGGAAGCCAAGGTGAGAGGATCATTTGAGCCTAGGAGTTCGAGACCAGCCTTTGCAACATAGTGATACCCTGTCTCTACAAAAAAAAATATTTTAAAATGAGCCAAACGTGGTGGCGCGCACCTGTAGTTCCAGCTACTTGGGAGGCTGAGTGGGGAGGATGGCTTGAGCCCAAGAGGTCAAGGCTGCAGTGAGTGGTGATTGTGCCACTGCACTCCAGCCTGTGCATTCCTCACAAAGCGAGACTCTGTCTCAAAAAAAAGATAAAATTAAAGGGTGATGATCAAAAAGATCTGCAATAAGCTAATAGGGAGATGTGGTATAAGGTTAGGAGCATGAAATCTGAAACCAGTACATCTGGGTTTGAATCCTAGTTCAGGTCCTTTTTAACAATGTAACCTTGGTTGAGTCACCTAACTTTTCTGTTTGTTTGGGAAATGGGATAACAGTAGCATCTAAGTAATGGGTTAGTGGGAAGATTAAGTGAATTAATACACATGAAAAGCTTAAATGGTGGTTAAACATAGTAATTGTTCAATAATTGTCAGCTATTATTAATCCTGGCTGGCTTTTATCTTGCATTTGCCCTCTATTAGTATTTTAAGGTATCATTTCACCTTGTATAAAAATAAAATGGGTATAAAGGGTGATCATATTAAAGCTGAGAAATTTTTATGTTATGGTTTTTTTTTTTTTTTTAAATTTCATCCTATCCTCTGCTTAAAACTGGCATTTGTCAGCCTACTTGTCTTTCCCTGGCTTCCCTTAAGAGAGAAGTGGTAGGTATTCAGCATTAAAACACAAGTTCTCCATCTTTGACTCCAGTGGTCCATTTTGTGCCAGAACCTTCAGTTTCTATCCATGAGTGTCTTTTAGGTAGCAGTTCTAAAATCGGACACGTGCAGTGGGTCCATCCCCTGTCATTCTCCACGAGATGTATCGTGGAGAGTGGATGCTGCTTTGATGAGACTACTGAGTGCTGCATGTTGTTTGCTCCACAGCCTCTGCAGTCCTTGTCCCTGGCTGACTCAAAACTCAAGACTGAAGTCACCATCATCATCAATGCCCTGGGAAGCAACACCTCCCTGACCAAAGTGGACATTAGCGGGAACGGAATGGGGGACATGGGAGCGAAGATGCTGGCCAAAGCACTGCAGATCAACACTAAGCTCAGGTAGGGAGATCCTGCCCTCCCTGCTCATGAGGAAGGCTTGGAGCAGATTCTGAACAGCAAGCACTGCAGAGCCGCTGGGCCCAAGGGGACCTGAGCTTCCCATGAGGCCAGCTGAGAAGAGGTGACAATGTCAAGACTTCTGTCAGAATAATGAGGAGGGTGTTCCCAAATTTAGACATCGTGATTCTTTCGGTCTGTTGTCTTATAGTTCTGTTGTAAAGGTGGAACCTGACTGAGAACTGCCACGATTTCCTATTTCACATCAGTGTTGATAGCTGACCAGTGTGTGGGTAAAGGCAGTGAAAAGCTACGAGGGTTTTGTAGGCAGCACTAAGTGAGCAGAGGCCATGCTTTGCTGTGAGCGCAAGGTCTTAACCCCCTTGCTCATCCCTGCCAATATAAAGACTTAGAAACAAGGGGCACGAAAGGTCTGCTGGTTCAAAACCAGGCTCACACTGAGTGCTAGCTGTTCTCTTTAGCACTTTTATTCCATGTTTCCTAAGTGTGGCTTTTCTCAAGGACTAGATCCACTGTTAACTCGTTGCCATCCATCATTCAGAGAGATTGGAGTTGCTACCTAGGTCAACAGTCTGGTGAATGAAGAGTTAATTCACATTGCTCCTCAAGGGCTCTTTTATGAAGTTTTTCTATTCTCTGGCATAAAAGTCTGAGTTTTCTGTCTAAACTGAAGCCAAAAGCCAAAATCTGCAGCAGTTTCTTTGAAGGTCAGTATGTGTGTAAAGAAGGTCATCGAGATTAGGAAGGGAAGGCAGTGAAAGTTGTGAGGCTGGGATCATCCAGACAAATAAAAGCTATTTTATGTGTCAGGGTGAACTGACAAATCCTAAATATCTCTGAAGTATACACATTGTGAAGGTAAAGTAGTAGTTTTCTCTCCAAATACATTTTGTGTTTAAAAAGCAAACAAAACTATAAGCAAACTATAAACAGGTAACATCAGTAACATTACCTGTTTATAGTAACTGATGTTTTGCCAGCAGAGTGAGGAAATTCCTAGGATTACTAATTAAACCATGTCAAGGAAGTAATGAAAACACAAGGAACTATGACAGATTCTCTCTAGTGTTTTAGAAACACTAGTGTTTTACTGTTTGCGGGGGAAAATCTCAGTAGCTGAAATTCTTTATATTGGGCATGGAACTGGTTAGCATCTTTTGTAAATAGCTTCCACCTCAGACATAAATATGAGAATATTATTGGGAGAATATCAGAGAAATATTGGAATTTAGAGTTTTCTGTCTAGTGAAAGTTAGATAACATAATAGTAAGTTAATATATGTGCTATTGCTTTTAAGTACAGTTTTTCCACACTACTTGCATGATAAATGTGTTACGAATATAATATTGGGGGAAATGCTTATCCTTGTTTTGTTAGAAATGAAGATGAACATTATTCCTTGCTCATATAATGTGGCTGTACTGAAATATCTAGACAGTGCTGTCTATAAGAGGTTTATATTCAATGTGAGAATCATTTTCTCTAAGTGTCTGATCATTTATGTGATTTGGTTTTCAAACAGGACTGTAATATGGGACAAGAACAACATCACTGCACAAGGCTTTCAGGATATAGCTGTTGCTATGGAAAAGTAAGTTTGAATTAGGATTTCTTTCTAGGAAAATAAAAAAACAAAACCAATGGTATATGTATTATCTGTGGGGTAATAGAAGCAACTGTTTATTGGGGATCAGAAGATCTGGGTCTGAATTTAGTCTACAGCTAACCAGCTATGGGATCTTGGAAGACATTGAATTTTCTCTGGTGGAAGTTTCCTTATGTATGAAATGAGGGCACAGATGCCTGTTCTGCTAAAAACACCACACTGTCGTGAAAATTAAATGAGATCACGGGAAAGCGGCTGTGTGACACTTGCCTTGTTTCCTTTCCCCTTCGTGGTTTCACAATCTATACTGGGTCTTGTTCTTTTGCCTATTGTGACACCTTTGAATTCACTGGTGAGAAGAAAGCTGAGGTCCAGAAAATAAAGGTGAAGTTGATAAATGGTAAGCCCAGGGCTAAGTTGTGTCATTACTGTGAAAGACTTTCTTCATTACTTCAGTAACTAAAGCCTGCAGTTATTATTTATTGTTGAATTTACATTCCCAGTAAACTAAATGAGAAAATAATACTAGACCTAGTTGAAAGTAAAACTAGGAATGTGGTTCTTTCTGGGCTTTTCAGTCCTCATATTGTACCTTATAAGGCAGAAGTGAACAAAGCAGATTTATACCATTAAAAATGAGAGGCTATAAAATATGGGTGAAAAATAAGGGGCCGATAGCATAGAAGCCGTGGGAAAGGGGAGGAAATGCTCATTATTTTGTGTTTTTTCAGATTCCTTGTATATATGAGGCCTCCCAGGAGGGCCTCTCATGCCTGACATGGTATTGTGGTACAACCCTAGACTAGGAATCAGGAGTCCTTCATTCAGTCTTCAGTTCTGTCACCCACAAGCCTATGATCTTGATCAAGTCATTTAATCTCTCTGATTAATTCTTTTTTCATGAAGTGAGAGGATTAGGATAAATGATCTCCAAGTCCCTTCCATTTCTAAATCCTGTGGCTCTACTTTAGCCAGGAGTTCAAAGTTACTGCCACTACAAAATCACAGAGACTCATCTCTCAGCGCCTTCTCTGTAGTGACCCCAGGCCATCACTAAATAGGGGTTAAGCAGCTTAGACCATCAGTTTAGCATTGCCACTGCATGATTGTAGACCCCCCTATGGTTACTCCTGTTGCACCACAAAACCCCAAATGGAAACATTTATTTACACTGCATCTGGATGCTGACAGCACAGTTGCCACCCTGATGTTGTAGACTGCCAGCTCAGGCTGGTGTTTGGAAGAAGCCAGGAGCATGGACAACCAATACTCAACATTTCCAGATAGACTGTCAGACTCCCTTGATCACAGTCGATTACGTATGCTCTGCTCCAAGATGCCAATGCTTCAAAATCACATTTGGTTTAAATAAACTATGCTGGTCTGTAACATGATAAAAATTGGATGATGGAAAGAAGAATTGTGAAGGCCATAAAAAAGATATATTGTCTCTTAGTTTCATTTGGCTGGATTTTCTGAAGGCAAACAAAAACAATTTTGCTAAAACAAAGCTAAGTTAAAAATCAGAGCTATAGAAATTGCAACTTTCTGTTTGTCTGATTATTTTACATGAAGCTACCTTATAAGTTGGACTGGGTGAATTTTTTTTTTTTCAGTAGTCCATCTAGACTGCTACTATTAAGTTGATGGTTTTATTATTTATTCTTTATTAGTACCTTATTTTAGGAGTTAGTTGCTAATTTATTCTTCCAATAGATGTCATCTAAATATGCCCCAGAAGCACACTATGAGTGCTGCTGATAGTTTAGAGTCCTAAAACAAGGCAGCTGACTGTGCAATTTTAATGTCCCAGTTGCTACCAAGTAGCCCAAGGTGAAGTTGATCTCTTCCTGAACACTGTGTTGTAGAAATGGACAGATGCATTTTGGGGTGGAGGACAGAAGTCATCTCTAATACTGGAGTTTATGGTAGGTGAGCAGGTGTTAATGGTCATTTCAGCACATAGCAGTTTGCAGCAGAGTCGGGATCAAAGGCCAGGGACCAGATTCAGAGTTCTGTGTTTTCCTCACACAAAAATGGCTCACTCTTGCATGTTTGTGTTTAATAGGCCTGCCAGTAGCAATGGGATAATATACAGCAATCAACAGTTGCTTCATTTGGTTTCTAGAGCCTGGTGGACAGCAGCTCTTGAACTCCAGCTGAAAGGACCTGCAGAGGTCAGAGTGTTTAGCCAGGCAGCAGACCCTTTCCTAGCAGCTTTAAAAGAGACAATCCTATGTCTACTGGACCTCATCATTTAATGGAGCCCAGAAACTTAACAGACTGTTTTGTGGGCGCTAATGGCTTGCTTTGCAAGCAAATGTTTTGTTTCTATTTCTGTTTTTCCTTCTACCAGTTTGGGGCTGGTTGTCACACATAATCACTGTGGGGACCCAGGTACAGTCAGGTCTATCGGTTACTAAAACCCATGTAGCGAGTTGATGTTGGACTTTCCCTAGGCTTGCCCTCTGTTCATCTTTTCAATCCTAGTGTGAAAATTCTCTCCTTGATGGAATCCAAAACTAAAAGCAAAACAACAAAACTGCATTCCTCAAAGTTGTGTCAGTTTTGTAGGTAGTGTGAATTAATGTGGTTGCTTGTGGTATTGGACCTGTGGTTATTACAAAGGATAATCTGCAATCTAGTGGTCTAAATGGTCTGGTGGTTTGGAATTTTCTAAGCTACTCTTACAGCTATCCTTTTGGATTTTTTTTTTTTAAAAAGAGTACTAATTAAGGTAATAGGAAGTTATTTTTAAATAAGTATATTACTTTCTCCTTTTTCTAGGAACTACACGTTAAGATTTATGCCAATTCCTATGTATGATGCTTCTCAAGCCCTAAAAACAAACCCTGAAAAAACAGAAGAGGCTCTGCAAAAGGTATTAAAGAATCAGTAGCTTAATTATAAGCAATTCACATTTAAATTGTGGTTATGTTCCTGAAGGTATTAACAATACTTTGTTATTTTGCAAAGTTTTTTTATTTTATTTTATTTTTTTCACATTGTCTTGCGTTCTTGTGACCACAGCTGGGGTAATGCACGACGGGGGGAGGAGTAAACTAAGGAACACTAAAGCTTGTCATGCAATTTAAGTGGAATAAATTAACATTCTTACAACATCAACATGCCGGAGCTGAAGTATAGTTAAAGTATAGTTAACTTCCTGATTGGCTGTCGGAGAAGTGTGTGGAACTGAATATCAGTTTGCACAGCTTCCCTCCTCTTCATCCTCAACAGATGGATCCTTCTCTTCTGTCTTCATCAAGAAATTTAGTGTATTCCTGAGCTCTCACTTTACCATCCTCATCTATAAATGTATATAAATCCACACCCATTCCTGCCTCTGTACTGGCAAACTCAGAGGTACCTTCCACTTCAAAGCCCAGCCATTCCGTGGTGCATTTGACTCCCTTATTCTGCCCTGTGCTAGAAACCTCTGAATCATTCCCTTGCTCTCCCATATCTTCATCCTTCTCTTTCTATGGCCACCTTTCTCTGCATTTTAGATGTGCTCAAATATTTCCCATCTGAAGAAGCCTGCTCCACTCACACTGTGGTATTATTTGAGGAATCTTTGAACTTTTCCTCCCGCTTTGTTCTTTCTCCTTGGTGATGTCATCCAAAAGACCACCAAGATGGCTAAATTTTAGAAAAGATAGCTTCATTAATGATGATTTGCAAACTGAGAAGAGACAGCCTCTAGTGTGTGCTGAATGTGCTCCTCTCTTCAAAGAAGGGAAGGGCAGTTTGGGTTTTATGCCTCACAAGGCCTGCATCATACAGTCGACTTGTACATATTCAGCAGGCTTGGGTAGAAGCTATACATATTTATGAGGGGAGCAGAGTGCATGTGCAATGGGTAAACATATGTAACATACATCTCATATTCACTTTGGGGTGAGGTTTTAGCATTAAAATGAGGGTGAATTTGGTTCTTTATGTTAGAACTATAGTACACGAAGACAGTTTGTGTGCAGCCTCTGTACACTGGCTGAAACTAGTTTCAGGTCTGCAGTTACTTATCAAAAAAGAATGTAAGGCTGGCCCTCTGTCCAGTCAGAGTCGTAGTTGTCTGGGTTGTAAATCAGAATAGAAGGGATCTGATAGTTCCTGTTGTTAGGGTGTTTAGAGCTGTAGAAATTTAGAAATTTGCCTTGCCAGCTGGCCCTGAACCCTTACCCCATAGGTAACTTTGTTTCCTTAACCTTAGGGTCCATCTTAGTTGATGAAGGAGTTGCTCAGATCACAGTGTTACCACCTTCCATCTAGTCTTCCAGAGTTGACTTTCCTCTCTCATTTCTTCCTTAGCTTATCAATCAGCAAGTCTACCATCACGTAGCATAAATCCCTTCATTAGCTTTTCTTCCCTCTGTTCCCATTATGGATACCTTCCTTCAAGTCTCATCATTTCTTACCAGGATTATTGCCACATTTGCCTCCTCTTGTCAGCTTTACATGTTGCAATAAAAAAAAAATAGCCATCCTATTTCATGGTAAATCTGAGCAGACTAAAATCTTCACTCTATCCCTTCCTAGTAGCTTTCAGGATAAATAAAGCTGGGTCTCCGTAACACAGCACTGTTCAGAATCTACCTCCTATACACTTCCTACTTCATCTTTGGCCAACTCTTTTGTTTTGACCTGTGTCGAGGAACTCATTAAAAATGCAAATTATTATTATTATTATTATTATTTTATTATTCTTTAAGTTCTAGGGTACATGTGCACAACGTGCAGGTTTGTTACATTTGTATACATGTGCCATGTTGGTGTGTTGCACCCATTAACTTGTCATTTACATTAGGTATATCTTCTAATGCCATCCCTCCCCCTTTCCCCCTCCCCATAATAGGCCCCGGAGTGTGATGTTCCCCTTCCTGTGTCCAAGTGATCTCAATTGTTCAGTTTCCACCTATGAGTGAGAACATGCAGTGTTTGGTTTTCTGTTCTTGCGATAGTTTGCTGAGAATGATGGTTTCCAGCTGCATCCATGTCCCTACAAAGGACACGAACTCATCCATTTTTATGGCTGCATAGTATTCCATGATGTATATGTGCCACATTTTCTTTATCCAGTCTATCATTGATGGACATTTGGGTTGATTCCAAGTCCTTGCTATTGTGAATAGTGCTGCAGTAAACATATGTGTGCGTGTGGCTTTATAGCAGCACAATTTATAATCCTTTGGGTATATCCCCAGTGATGGGATGGCTGGGTCAAATGGTATTTCTGGCTGTAGATCCTTGAGAAATCGCCACACTGTTTTCCACAATGGTTGAACTAGTTTACAGTCCCACCAACAGTGTAAAAGTGTTCTTATTTCTCCACATCCTCTCCAGCACCTGTTGTTTCCTGACTTTTTAATGATTGCCATTCTAACTGGTGTGAGATGGTATCTCATTGTGGTTTTGATTTGCATTTCTCTGATGGCGAGTGATGATGAGCATTTTTTCATGTGTCTGTTGGCTATATGAATGTCTTCTTTTGAGAAGTGTCTGTTCATATCCTTTGCCCACTTTTTGATGGGGTTGTTTGTTTTTTTCTTGTAAATTTGTTTGAGTTCTTTATAGGTTCTGGATATTAGCCCTTTGTCAGATGAGTAGATTGCAAAAATTTTCTCCCATTCTGTAGGTTGCCTGTTCACTCTGATGGTAGTTTCTTTTGCTGTGCAGAAGCTCTTTAGTTTAATTAGATCCCATTTGTCAATTTTGGCTTTTGTTGCCGTTGCTTTTGGTGTTTTAGACATGAAGTCCTTGCCCATGCCTATGTCCTGAATGATATTACCTAGGTTTTTTTCTAGGGTTTTTATGGTTTTAGGTCTAGCATTTAAGTCTCTAATCCATCTTGAATTAATTTTCGTATAAGGAGTAAGGAAAGGATCCAGTTTCAGCTTTCTACTTATGGCTAGCCAATTTTCCCAGCACCATTTATTAAATAGGGAATCCTTTCCCCATTTCTTGTTTCTCTCAGGTTTGTCAAAGATCAGATGGCTGTAGATGTGTGGTATTATTTCTGAGGGCTCTGTTCTGTTCCATTGGTCTATATCTCTGTTTTGGTACCAGTACCATGCTGTTTTGGTTACTGTAGACTTGTAGTATAGTTTGAAGTCAGGTAGCATGATGCCTCCAGCTTTGTTCTTTTGACTTAGGATTGTCTTGGCAATATGGGGTGTTTTTTGGTTCCATGTGAACTTTAAAGCAGTTTTTTCCAATTCTGTGAAGAAAGTCATTGGTAGCTTAATGGGGATGACATTGAATCTATAAATTACCTTGGGCAGTATGGCCATTTTCACGATATTGATTTTTCCTATCCATGAGCATGGTGTGTTCTCCATTTGTTTGTGTCCTCTTTTATTTCACTGAGCAGTGGTTTGTAGTTCTCCTTGAAGAGGTCCTTTACGTCCCTTGTAAGTTGGATTCCTAGGTATTTTATTCTCTTTGAAGCTATTGTGAATGAGAGTTCATTCATGATTTGGCTCTCTGGTTGTCTGTTACTGGTGTGTAAGAATGCTTGTGATTTTTGCACATTGATTTTGTATCCTGAGACTTTGCTGAAGTTGCTTATCAGCTTAAGGAGATTTTGGGCTGAGACGATGGGGTTTCTAAGTATACAATCATGTCATCTGCAAACAGGGACAGTTTGACTTCTTTTCCTAACTGAATACCCTTTATTTCTTTCTCTTGCCTGATTGCCCTAGCCAGAACTTCCAACACTATGTTGAATAGGAGTGGTGAGAGAGGGCATCCCTGTCTTGTGCCAGTTTTCAAAGGGAATGCTTCCAGTTTTTGCCCATTCAGTATAATATTGGCTGTGGGTTTGCCATAAATAGCTCTTATTATTTTGAGATACGTTTCATCAATACCAAATTTATTGAGAGTGTTTAACATGAAGGCTATTGAATTTTGTCAAAGAAAAAAGCAAATTATTAAGCCTCAGAAACTGGGGTAGGACTTAGCATTTGTGTTTTCACAAGCTTTCCTGGTGTTTGTAAAGTTTGAGAGTCCCTGCTATGTTCCACACATGCTTTTTCTTTCCTGACTACCATGCAGGTCTGTTGAGATTGAAATAAGTGTCAGCTCATCTAGGAAGACTTCTCAGAGGCCCTTTCCTTCCCTAGGTGTATGGTCTTCGGATTTCCTGTGCTCCTCTCTGTCATTGGCCTTGCAACATTGATTTAAGTTACCTGGCTCCGTGTTTTTTTCTCCTAATGGTCTATGAGTTATTTGAAGGCAGAGCTTATGTATTTTTTCATCTTGTTTATTCTCACAGCTAGCACAATGCCTGGTGTGTATGATTGGATACTTCATTGATTGATTGATTGGTTGACAGGGTCTCACTGTGTTGCCTAAGCTGGAGTGCAGTGGTGCAGTCATGGCTCACTGCAGCCTCAACCACCTTTGCTCATGTGATCCTCCCATCTCAACCAGGACTACAAGCATATGCTACTATGCCCAGCTAATTTTTCAAATTTTTTATAGAGATGAGGTTTCGCTATGTTGCCCAAGCTGGTTTCAAACTCCTGCACTCAAGCAATCCTCCGGCATTGGCCTCCCAAAGTGTTGGGATTATAGGCGTGAGCCACCATGCCTGGTCACTTGAATACTTTTTAGGCATATGTTGAATAGAAGACAATATGATTGGAGATGGGAGAGGGAAAAGCTGTAGTATGGCAAAATAAATCAAGATTTGAATTTAGAATATCTGACTTAAAATTAAACTCTTCCCATAACCTTCAATAAGTTACTCAATTTTTCTGAACTTTATTTTTTTTTCAACTATATAGATAGGAAAAATAAAACTTTGTAATAACGGTTTAGCTGACAATATATAATTCTTACTGGGTGTCTGGCACTGTTTTAAATGTTTTACATAAATTA